CAGTGTGGTACAGATTTTAAATTATCAATACTTCTAAAAAACCACATGAAAATTCATACAAATGTGAGACCGTATGCATGTTCATTTTGTGGAAAGTGTTTTGCTCGACTGGATCATTGTAAACGGCACCAGAAAACACACACCAGTGAGAAAGATCATGTGTGTCGTGAGTGTGGGAAGAGATTTACTAGAGCTGATAATCTGCAACAGCACCAAAGGATTCATACTGGAGAGAAACCTTACAAGTGCTCATATTGTGACAAGAGTTTCACTCAGTTAGCATCCCTGAAGGCACATGAGCGGATTCATACTGGAGAGAAGCCGTACTACTGCCCTCCTGTGAGAAGAGTTTTAGGCATTTAAAAAGCCTTAAAAAGCACATGAAAACATGTCACACGTCGTCACAGTGAGCAACATTTTTGTGTTAAACAGTCAAGTAATTTGTGTGAGATAAACAAAACATAGTTTCACCTAATAGCACAACGCCATCTAGTTTAATTTTGTGCATTTAACTATAAAGTGTACAATAGAGTGATTCTTGACGCTTCCATACAGTTCCATATATTTTATGCACTGTCGTTATTGTTTATCTTTTTTTACCTTTTTTGGCTGTGACTCCAGTCTGTTTTTCAACTGATCTCTCAACTCAACTGATCTGTTTTTAAAAAGTAGACCGGAGGCCTCAATTTATGTGAAGTGGAATGAGGAGGCCTCCTCGTATATTGTGTCTAATGTCAAAACAGGATGTCCAGCTTCACCAGATCCTGTATTGTTGTAATGACTGCACATTTCATTCTCTCCAGGCCTCCATCCACACAGGCAAATACATGAATATAATAGCAGAATAGCTTCATACAGAAATGGTTATATTCACATTGATTTGATTAATTCATATTTTGTTTAATACAAAAAATCTTCTGCAAAAGAACCGTAGTTACTTTGATCTCTTGAGATACAGACAATATAAACACACACAGGCATATGTTTTCACACCCTACAGAGTGGAGATGCAGAAAGCTTCCTTCCCTCCTGTCTTTCCTTCACATTTGTTCCTTCAATCCCTCCACCCATTCTTCCCTTCACTCAGAATCAGAATGATTATATAAATACAAAATGTTCTGTGCCAATGCAAGTGAATGAACAGTCATGTTTGGTATCATTTCAAATGTATCAGTGTGACTAGTACAATGGTTTCAATCTTACAAGAAGTAGACTAAAAGATAATGGATCCTAAGAGTTTAGAGGTGTTTTATTTACTGTTGGGTGTGCCCTTTCCCACTGTCTTTCATGCAAATTACCATCTGCCCCCAAAAGGTGTAAAACTCTCAACATCTATTGGCCTTAATCAATGCAAATTCCAATTGTTAGTTCCTGTCTCCATTTGAAGGATGTTTGTCTTGGTCTGAATAGGCCTACTTTAAGAAAATGTTGCATATATAATCTATATTCCATCTTTCTGAAGTCAGATATGCATCTTTTGCTCTTAGTTTTATATTTGAGAACTTGATGTCTTGTTTTGTCATTGAACTTTGAATTGATATCTCTGAATTGGCTATGTAATTGGCATAATGCATTTTTACCTGACTGATAATAAATTGTTACATTTGATTTTGTTCTGACTCACTCTGAGATTGTTTACTCAAAGTGTGCTTATAGATAATAATCAGATGTCTAGATAAATTATCAGAATGATCAATAATAGCTGGCATGGTAATCTAAATTCGAGGTCATAATAAGATGGAGTCAGATAACAATTAGATTAACAACTTAACAATTAACACATTTTTAATTTCAGTATGAAAACAGAAATATCATAGTCTTGCAGTTTGTCTCAGCACGTTGACACCAATGAAATGTGCTTAATGTGCCAATTTACAAAAGATCTATTCATCATAATGAATGAGCTGAAAACAGTGAACTATTTGGATGAGACAAAGAGGCTTTTATCATCTGCACATTCACTGTGAAGAAAAGCCATTTAACTGTGATCAGTGTGGTAAATCCTTTATTTTTGCCATCAAATCTAAAAAACAACAACAACATTTATACAGGTAAACCGCCTCATGTGTGATCTTTTTGTGGAAAGAGTTTTTCAGAACTGGACACATAAACAACAGCATCTGGAAATAAATACTGACGTCTGTCTCTGTGTAATAACAAAAATAAATGACTATTTCACTGACAAGATCTTGAGTGACTAGGATACATTGATGTCATCTGCTTAATCATTTACATGTATTAATTTGGCAGATGCTTTTATCCAAAGCAACTTGCAAATGAGGAATACAACAAGCCACAAACATGTATTAGTGTTCTGAGCGTACAAGAAATGATCAGAAATAATGTCTAAAGCAAAACATTAATACTGTAGCAGGAAATGTTTCAGATGTACAGTCAGTACTGTAAAGCTACACAGAGTGATTGTCCATTATTGGTCATATTTTATTCTGTTCAGAGGCATCTACAAATAGACATGAATTTAATTTAATTAAGTCATTTAGTCATTAACTTCATGCCTTTCCGGAGATTACCTTGTATATGAAATGCTTTTATGTTTTCTGTTTTAATTTAAGTTTAGTTTAAGTGTTAACTGAAGAATGTACTTGTTTCATCCTTATTTAGGACCCTACAATTTGATGAGCTACCATCCTATACAGCTGTATTATATGCAAATAATATACAACCTTGTCAAAATATTCTGTATTTCTGTATTTAATAAAAGTAATGCATTCAGTAGCACTAAATTGAAGGCATCTGCCCACATGTGACACAAGCCCCTCCCATACGGAGGTGAGGCCCACCCACTTTGACGTCTCTGGGCTGATACAAACTTGGGAAATATTAACATCATCCTAGAGGAGAAGAACAAACTCCAAGTGCAGCAGCTGAAATCTGTGACATACTGTGGTAAAGACGGAGTTTGTTAAAGAGGAGATTGAAGACATGAGTGATCCAGAACCATCCAGAATAAAACATGAAAATTCTGAGGAACAAACAGGTTGGTGTTCATTTTCGAGTCTTCATTATTAACTACTGAGATTCAGCTGAATTTTTGCATTTCTCATTTTTGAACTATTTCTAGCTTTTACAATTAGACCAGATAAAAGTGACAGAGCAAAGACAAGGACTGAGTGAAGTGGAGGAGAAACACTGTGACTTCAAAACTCAAAGAATAAAAGCCAAAAAGCTGCACACCTGTGATCAGCGTGGTAAAGATTCATCAAATCTGAAAACACACCTGAAGGACCATATAAATGAGAAACCTCTCTCGTGTTCTTTCCATGGAAAGAGTCGCTCATTGATGGAAAATTGTAAACAGCGCCAGAGAACTCATAATGAAGTGAAAGATCATGTGTGTTTGGATTGTGGGAAGAGCTTCACTAAAGTTAGCCGTTTGAAACGGCACAAAAGGATTCACACTGGAGAAAAACCTCACAAGTGCTCATATTGTGACAAGAGTTTCACTCAGGCAGGAACCATGAGAATACATGAGCGAGTTCACACTGGAGAGAAGCCGTATCACTGTACTCAGTGTGGAAAGAGTTTCAGATATAGAAGTGATCTCAATTTTCATCTGCTCGTTCACTCTGGAGAAAGACCATTTACCTGTGATCAGTGTGGTACAGATTTTAAATTATCAATACTTCTAAAAAACCACATGAAAATTCATACAAATGTGAGACCGTATGCATGTTCATTTTGTGGAAAGTGTTTTGCTCGACTGGATCATTGTAAACGGCACCAGAAAACACACACCAGTGAGAAAGATCATGTGTGTCGTGAGTGTGGGAAGAGATTTACTAGAGCTGATAATCTGCAACAGCACCAAAGGATTCATACTGGAGAGAAACCTTACAAGTGCTCATATTGTGACAAGAGTTTCACTCAGTCTGGAAACCTGAAAGCACATGAGCAGATTCATACTGGAGAGAAGCCGTACTACTGCCCTCCCTGTGAGAAGAGTTTTAGATTTTTAAAAGGCCTTGAAAGTCACATGAAAATATGTCCTAATTTGTCACCGTGAGCAACATTTTCATGTTAGAACAGCCGAGTAAATAGTGTGAGATAAACAAAATATTGAGTTTCTCTCAAAAGCACAAATACATCTAGTTTAATTTTGTGAATTTTGACTTGTTCTTAGTCTGATTAAGGAACTATAGAGTGTAGGATGTTAGAGTGAATCAGACAGCTATAATGTGAGCAGAATTGAGCAAAAGCAGAAGAATTCCAGGGGGCCCCAAAGGCAACATGGATGACCGTGGGTCAGATTTCCTGCCGCCAACAAGTCTGGAGCGACATACCAGAAGACGATTGTTACATTTAGGAGGATAACTCAAGATTAATGGTGGAAGAGACGACACACTGACCCTCTTCCCCCCGAGGACAGAGAGCAAAACCTTTCGACCTTCCTCACAGAACAGGATTCTCTCTCTCAGAACCGCTTGCAGAATGGCTGCCATAACCTATTAAAAATGCATAAGATCATCCAACCTATAACCAAACATCATTCCATTGCATAATGCCACATTATCTGTGTAACCCAATCATTTGACTATCCTGTTTTAATCACTCGTTGTTTATGTGCAGTGCTTAAAGTGGGCAAAAAAGTGCCAGTACTCCCCCTACCGCCTTTCAAAAATAAAAATAAAATAGAAATACATTATGGGTGCAAGTTTTTCAGTCTGGTTCTCATGAGAGCACTTGGAGATTTGGTTTGGTGCTCACACTGCACATCGTGTGACCCATTAAATAAAACTACAAAGATTTTATTAATAATAGTAGTAATATTATAATATAGTTTCTCTTTATTTATTTATTTGAACAAAATAATAAACAAATTAATGATAATTCAGACGTGTGAAAAACTCCAACGTACATGTAATGATTGATTTATATAAATGCTTAAATGTTTATTTTTTATATTTAAATCTGATGTTAAAGTAAAACTACTCAAGGGTCTGTTTCCATACAACAGTTAACTCACTGCTTAAAATCTAGTGTTTTATAACAAAGAATTGCTCCTTATTGATATTTTTCATGTGCTGATAATATACCGCATTACCAAAATGCTCTGTATTTCGAACAGGAAATATGTTTAATTCATTTCAGCATAACTGAAGTAGTTTAGTGCAAATTAATTCCTCTATTTTTGATTTTCCAGATCTGGTCCTGTGGATCTCAGTATCAGACAATGATCAGTGAAGCCCCTCTCACAACAGTTCAGCTATAAATACTGGAGAATATTCACATCATCCTACAAGAGAAGAACAAACTCCAGGTGCAGCAGCTGAAATCTGTGACTGTTAAAGATGGAGTTTATTAAAGAGGAGATTGAAGACATGAGGGATCCAGAACCATCCAGAATAAAACATGAAGATACTGAGGAACAAACAGGTTGGCTCTTTATTTTTCATTATTGACTGTTTTTGTTAGATGTGAAATTTTGATCAGTATATATCCTGTTGAAAAAAACAGCATGCTGTTTTTTCAACAGGGTATGGATGATAAATGATACAGAATTGCTTTTAAATTATCATAAGCCTGTTGTCATCAACATTCAATTGAACTAACAAGATAATTAACCATTGGCACATCAAAGATCTGACATACAAATATCTAATCTCTGTTGTTTTCTGCTGTTAAATTATCTGGAATCAGCTGATTCTAACTTATTATTTTAGACTGGATGGACATGAAAGAGCAAAGACAAGAACTGAATGAAGAGGAGGAGAAACACTGTGACTTCAAAACTCAAAGAACAAAAGCCAAAAAGCTGCACACCTGCTCACAGTGTGAAAAGAGTTTCTCACACAAAAGAAACCTTGAAAGAAACATGAGAATCCACACTGGAGAGAAACCATACACATGCCCTCAGTGTAGAAAGAGTTTTTCACAACTGGACACTTATAAACAGCATCAGAGAACTCATGATGAAGTGAAAGATCATGTGTGTTGTGAGTGTGGGAAGAGCTTTACTACAGCTGGCCACCTTAAACTGCACCAAATGATTCATACTGGAGAAAAACCTTGCAAGTGCTTATATTGTGACAAGAGTTTCACTCAGTCTGGAACTATGAAAATACATGAGCGAGTTCACACTGGAGAGAAGCCATTTACCTGTGATCAGTGTGGTACAGATTTTAAATCATCAACATTTCTAAAAGAACACATGCATTTTCATACAAATGAAAGGCCTTATGCATGTTTTTATTGTGGAAAGAGTTTTGCTCAGCTAAATCATTGTGAAGTGCATCAGAAAATACACACCGGTGAGAAAGATCATGTGTGTCGTGAGTGTGGGAAGAGCTTTACTAGAGCTGATAATCTTGATAAAACTTTACTAGAGCTGATCATACTTGATAAAATGTAAGTCATCAGAGTGAGCAACATTTTCAGGATTAAACTGTTAAACAAAATATATTCACCCAAAAGCACAACACCATCTAGTTTCATTTTGTGAATTTGATTTCACAGTCTGATTAAGGAACTATAGAATGATGCTCGAAGCTTCACCAAGATAATAATTCTTACAGTGTAAATCATTTTTATCTTTCCTACTGGGTAATTCGTTTGCTAAATGTGTCATGCTTTACTGTGTGTTGATCAGTTCTTGCTTGAATAAGCCACATTCTTGTCATTTACTAATTTCCTATATTGTGTTCTGGTTGTACATGAGTTGGAAAATATTAAACTGAAAAAAAAAAAATAATAAACAGTTTTCATTATTTACAGATGATTTTAACTGCTGCAATATTTTGCAAGACTGGTGTATAATTTGATTTGAACGACAAAAGTGACAAAACATGTATCATCTGAATCACTACATTCTTTTGTTTAACTATATTTAACTTCTACACACACATTTTTCATTTCAGTATAAAAACAGAAATATCATAGATGATAATCCTGTCTCCGTACCATGAGACAATATTATATGTAAGAATGCTCTCAATCATTGACCTGTATACCATAGTATAACACTAACATTAAAGTTCCTCAGTTTTCTAAGAAGACCAAGGCGCTGGCTTGCCTTCTTATAGACAGACTCTACATTACTTTCAAAGTTGAGTTTATCGTCAGTAATTGTTCCTAAATATTTAAAATTCGAGACCTGCTCTGCAATTTTTCTTTTTATAATGACTGGTTTATATGGGCTTGTATCTACTATTCTTATTTGACTCCTCAAGCATAGCTCTTTTGTCCTTCCAATATTAAGATGTAAAAAGCTACTATCAAGCCAACCAATAATGCTATTGATAATGAAGAGTTATTAATTTCTTTCTGACAGGAAACCAGTGCCATATCATCAGCATACTTTATGATGGAGAGATTATCATCATCACACTGCAGTTCATTGACGTATACAGAGAATAATATTGGAGATAATACACATCCCTGGGGTACCCCAGTATTTAAAACCAAGCAGTCAGCCATGACATTATGTTTTTTTTAAATTCTTTAATCCATGAAATCAACCAACTACTAACACCTAAATTGTGAAGATGCTTTAAAAGAAGGTTAGGTTGGACAGTATTAAAAGCAGACGAAAAATCCATGAAAACACATATTCTTCAATATGGGGTGCTGTGTGTACATTAATGAGGAAAAAAAATGAACTTAAATGATTTTCGCAAATGGCTGCAATATAACAAAGAGTGAAAAATTTAAGGGGGTTTGAATACTTTCCGTACCCACTGTATATGACTTATCTAAATGATGTTGAACTTTATTCAGAAGAGTAAGAGAGGCATCCACAGTGCTCCGATTGACCCGATAGGCAAACTGCAGGTGAACCTCTCAATTTGGGATGACAATTCCTCACACACTATGCATTCCATACATTTGCAGAAAACTGATGTGAGCGCAAATAGACGAAAGTCATTTAACAATTTTGCATGAGGCATTTTTGGTACCGGGATAACAATTGAATTCTTCCAGGCCAATGGTACAAAGCTATTGTCCAGAAAGATTTGAAACATCCTTGTACACACATGTCCCAGTTGTTCTGCACATTCTTTCAAGACTTTCCCCTTCAAGCCATCCGGGCCAGACGCCTTGTGGGATTTAACTTTGCGAAGCGCTGTGACAACCTCTCTTTCCTGTCATGATCTGTATATGCCAATATATGAAACAATTTCCTCAATTTGAGTTTTTAACTTTTAAAATGGACTTTTTGAGTCTGATCCCAGATGAACTGAATTGAGCTTGATCCCATTGAAAGTCAATATTTAGCATACTAAAAAAAAATTGCTAAAAATTAGGCTATGCCATCAATACGTCATCAGTCGTCACTTTTTTCACTTTCTCTTTCAATAAAGGTCGATTATGCTCGTGGTAGCTGAAATTGCACATGCATTTGCGAATCGTATTATAAAGTTTAGGGTTCATTTAAATGAATTCAACAAATGTTTGTGATGCTATTTAAATTTGTATTTTTTATTTAGTTATCGCTGTTTTTCTGTTTGTATGAATATAAAGCATATAGGCCTATATATAAAATATGAAAATTGTGAAATGTCTCGAGACATTTTTTTACCGTTTAATTAATAAAGTAAATCAAAATATAAAGTGTATAGGTAAATCAATAAAGAAGAGTGTATCTATATGTTATAGAATAATGTTAGGGCATTCAAATTTAAACAGCACACTTAAAATAATAGGGAAACATCCAAAATGGGTTATGTGAACAATGTCATGTTGAAGAAAAAATACCTCATGTTTTTTTTTTATGTAGTAGGCCTATACGAACAAGAAATGGGAAAATGATAGAAGAAATAAAGAAAAAAAATGGAGCTCAAGAATTACATTTTAAGGTTTTAATAAAATGGTCAAGTTAAATAAACTGGACTGAATAGAATATAAAACTCTGTTCCACACTCCGGAGCAGAAGGTGGCGGTAATGCACCTATTTACGTTGGTTGCCAGCCGCCGTTAAAAACGAAGAAGAAGAAGAAGAAGACAATAAAACCTTAAAAATAATAAATAAACATCCAACAGGATTTTGTGAGCACTGTGGAATGGAGGAATCAGTAGAACATGTTATTTGTGTTTGTCAAAAGTGTACTAATGTACGAGAAACAATGAAGAATGAACTTAGAAAGACGGGAGTGGATAACCTAAAGCTTAAAAATATATTTACTTATGGACTAGAAAGTTTATTTTTGTATCTTAAGAGAACAGAGCTGATGTTCTTGAGGTAAAGAAGTAAACATTTTTTTTTTTTTAGTAATTTTTTTTGTCCTCTTATTATGAAAGTGTCAACTCTGGTTCACACTCCAATACAGTAGGTGGCGATAATGCACCTTAACATTGGTGCTACCCGCCATAAAACCGAAGAAGAAGAAGAGGAGGAAGCAGAAGAAGAAGAAATATATGTGTATTTCTAGTCTGTAATGTGTTGCAACATGTGAGAGATGTTCTCGATTTACAGAGTTTGACATGAACCACCTTGATAGAAGAGGTATTTAACTATTAATAAATATACGCTCTGCTTTTGTTTCAGCATTGAATATACGTGAATTCTTCTTTGTTTTGTTTTGTTTGATGCTAACATTGTTCAGAAAGGACGTGCCAAGCAAGTTATAATTTAAGAATTTAACCCTTTATCGTTATTTAGAGTCCCAGGGTTACATAAAAAAGAGATTGATTCTTATAGAGCTGTTTATATACTAATAATGAACCGCTTTGCTTTAAATTGAGTCCCTTTTTTTTTGTGGGGGAGAAAAACCTAACAAGTGCTCATACTGTGACAAGAGTTTCATTCGGCCTGAACATTTGAGAATACACGAGCGAGTTCATAGTGGAGAGAAGCCGTATTACTGTACTCGGTGTGGAGAGAGTTTCAAACGTTTCCGTGGTCTGGTGATTCATATGAAAAAAAATTGTTCTGCGTCACAGTGAGCAAATGTTATCTACAGATCGAATGCTTTTAAAGAACAACGTTCTTCAGTAGGCCTATTATGTGTAAGTAGGCTGTTAAGGCTATTTTATTCACTTTAGACATCGGATGAAGTGACTTTCTCTTTAATACAGATGATGCTGGATTATTAATAAATTAGTTATGACAAAAAATGATGACATCCGATGTATTTCTATGAGCGATTATAAGCAGTGGTGTAATGTAACAAAGTAATAATACTTCGTTACAGTACTTAAGTATTTTTTGGGAGTATCTGTACTTTACTTGGGTTTTTATATTTCAGCCAACTTTTACTTTTACTCCACTACATTTCCTAATTAAAATGTATACTTTGACTCCGATACGTTTCGCCGAAGCATATTCGTTACTTTCTACAAAATAGTCAGAAGTCAGAAGAACACGGACTGCAGGAAAGCAGGTTTGACGAATCAGTGGTCTGGCGTTTGCAAGTTAGATGTATGTTAGGATATAGGACAATATTTGGCCGAGATACAACTATTTGAAAATCTGGAATCTGAAAGTGCAAAAAAATAAATCAGCTTTAAAGTTGTCCAAATGAAGTTCTTAGCAATGCATATTACTAATCAAAAATGAAGTTTTAATATATTTACGGTAGGAAATGTACAAAATATCTTCATGGAACATGATCTTTACTTAATATCCTAATGATTTTTGGCATAAAAGAAAAATCAATAATTTTAACCCATACAATGTATTGTTGGCTATTGCTACAAATATAACTGTGCTACTTATGTGCTACTGTATGAAAGTCCTGTTGCTCATAATAGTATTGGCTCTGTTTGTTGTGTAATGTAAAATAAGTAAAAAAAATAAAATAAATCTTCACATTTCCCTTCCCACATAAATTTGGCAATATATGCTGGGATGTTCACTTAACGTTCACATAACCCAAAAATAACAAAACCATGTTTTTAAACATTTAATATAAACTGGATTTTTAAATATTCAGAGAAATAACATTTTCATAACTCAATGGGAACATACCCAGCTGTTCTAAGAATGTTTTGCTAACATTCTCATTAAGTTATGAAAAATTTCAAATGTTTCTTGGTTATGCGAACGTTAGAGAAAATATGTAAGTATATGTAAGTATTTTTATATGTAAATATGTTCTATTTGATCATTTTGCAAACACATTGTTTTTAAAAGTTTTTTATTTTTGGACAACTTTTTTTTTTTAATTCTGAAAAAACGAATTCATGATGGGAATGTTATTAAAGAATTTTTCTTACCAGAAGAACTTTTGTAATAACTGTGAATGAACCTTACCAGAATGTTAGCTAAAATTCTGAGAATATTTCTAGTTAGTAGCCTAGTAGCTGTTTTCTATAGCCTAGTAAAAGTGTAGTGACCCTGAGTGTCATGCTTACATTTGCATATTGTATGGCATTTTATATATGATACTATCTAAATTGAAATACATGTAAACAAACAGGTATATTTGATGAATGATTTGGGAATTAGGCTATGTTCATTTGTATGTGTTTATGCTTTCACTATTTATCTTACATTTATTGGGTTCAGGTTCTTTAATATTTGGTTGATATCTGAGGGAGTCTCAGATATAATATTGAGATATAATGACGCGAGATGAGACAGAAACATAAAAAGTTCTTCATGATCTTCATGCTTGGATACAGCACTCTGTGAACAGCCAGTTTCTTTGGCAATGAATGTTTGTGGCTCCTTGTGAAGGGTGTCAATGATTGTCTTCTGGACAACTGTTAGATCAGCAGTCTTCATCATGATTGTGTAGCCTAGTGAACCAAACTGAGAGGCCATTTTGAAGGCTCAGGAAACCTTTGCAGGTGTTTTGAGTTGATTAGCTGATTGGCATGTCACCATATTCTCATTTGTTGAGATAGTGAATTGGTGGGTTTTTGTTAAATGTGAGCCAAAATCATCACAATTAAAAGAACCAAAGACTTAAACTACTTCAGTCTGTGTGCATTGAATTTATTTAATACACGAGTTTCACAATTTGAGTTGAATTACTGAAATAAATGAACTTTTCCACGACATTCTAATTTATTGAGATGCGCCTGTAAATACTTGACTATGGAAGCCAATTTCTGCCACGGAATAAAAAAAAATCTCAATATTCAGACTTTTTTCCCCCACAATTCTGAGATTTTTTTTTCTGTCAGAATTGCTAGATATAAATTGCAAGAAAAAAATCGAATTTTGAGGGGAAAAGTTTAACTTTGTAGTGTTGTATCCTGATATAAACTCACAATTCTCCAGAATTGCATGATCTAAACTCAAATCTGGGAAGAAAAGTCTAAATTTTAAAAGTTTTTTCATAATTGTGAGATAAAAGTCATTGTAAAAGATGAATCCAATCATTATTTTTTTGTTTTTATTTGATTACCGCTGTTTGTGATAATACATTTGTATTAAACCTTAAATCCAGAAAAAAAATTAACTATTATTATAAAACAAATGCAATAAAAAAATTTCTCAATATTCAGACTTTTTTCCCCCACAATTCTGAGATTTTTTTTTCTGTCAGAATTGCTAGATATAAATTGCAAGAAAAAAATCGAATTTTGAGGGGAAAAGTTTAACTTTGTAGTGTTTTATCCTGATATAAACTCACAATTCTCCAGAACTGCATGATCTAAACTCAAATCTGGGAAGAAAAGTCTAAATTTTAAAAGTTTTTTCATAATTGTCAGAAAAAAGTCAGAATTGTGAGATAAAAGTCATTGTAAAAGATGAATCCAATCATTCTTTTTTTTGTTTTTATTTGATTACCGCTGTTTGTGATAATACATTTGTATTAAACCTTAAATCCAGAAAAAAATTAACTATTATTATTAAAAAAATGCAATAAAATTTTTAAATTGTTAAAGTTGCATGAATTCAATTGATTACCTTTTGTTATTGATACAATGTTCCATGCTTGAACTTTTACTATATTTACATTTATTGGTCATTTTCAAAGATTTAATATGTTCATTTTTAGACCTGATGGAAGTGAAGGAGGAACGTTTAGAACTGAACGAAGAGGAACATTTCATTACTGTAGAATATAATTCCTCCCAAAACGGAGCTCAAAGAACAGAAGCCAAAAACCCTGTGACCTGCCCTCAATGTAAAAAGAGTTTCACGCAAAAAGGAAGCCTCATTAGTCACATCAGAATCCACACCGGAGAGCGTCCGTACACGTGTCCGCACTGCGGGAGGAGCTTCGCACGTAAATACAGCTTGAATGTGCACATAAGAGTCCATACTGGAGAGAAACCCTACACCTGTCCTCAATGTGCGAAGACTTTCACGCAAAAGGAACACCTGAACAGTCACCTAAGAGTTCACACTGGAAAGAAACCATTCGTATGTCATCAGTGCGGAAGCGGTTTCACACGTAACGACAGCTTGAAGAACCACTCAAGAATTCACACTGGCACGAAGTCCTTTATTTGCCCTGAGTGTGGAAAGAGCTTTAACTGGGCTCACAATTTCAACAATCATCTGCACTCTCATTCTGGAGTGAAGCCTTTCAGCTGCGATCAGTGTGGCGAAAAATGTCCGTCTGCGTCCGCTTTAAGATACCACCTCCAAGCTCATACAAATGAAAGGCCTCACTTGTGTTCTTCGTGCGGAAAGAGTTTTGCACGGCTGGACTCTTTTAGAGCGCACCAGAAGCTGCATAGCGGCGTGAGACCTTACCTGTGTTCAGACTGCGGCAGGACGTTTAATAAAGCCACCAACTTGAAAGAGCACCAGAAGATTCATATCGGTGAAAGACCATACAAGTGTTCGCTTTGTGACAAGAGTTACAGTCAGTCGGGATCCTTGAAAGCACACGAGCGACTTCATACAGGAGAGAGACCGTATCGCTGCACTCAGTGTGGAAAGAGTTTCTTCAAATCAAGCCATCTAGTGGCACATATAAAAATGCACCGTCCGTCTCCGAAGGCTTCACAGTGAGCAACTGTGATTTTAGATCAACCAAAAACAGACTTTGAACTATCTAAGAAGATATTTCCTGGTATAAGTGCAGTGTTTTGTGTGAATAATGTAAATAAATTAATTGTATCTGATAAAAGTGAATAAAGCCCTTTTTTTTCTAAGCACTTTACTTTTATTTGAAAGCAATTTTGAGATTTGGGGTTTTCAAAATGTGTTGTTTCAGACGAGTGGACAGAAAATATCCAAAATACACTTTTAAGTGTTTATTTTATTGTACTATTGTATTGTATTGTATTGTATTATTTTCTAGATTTTGACAACTGTTTTCTGATTTATGGAGAGCTAAAAAGCCTCTAATATGTCAACAAAATGAAAGGACTTTTTAACCTGGCTTTATCCAGTGTCTGCAAATGAGTGTAAATTTAATTAGATAAAGCCTCATTTGCAGAGGCGGTCAGTAGTGAAGTATTTTTACACTGCTTTAAAAGTACTTTTCAAGTGTCTGTACTTTATCAGAGTGTTATTCTTTAGAAAACTTTACTTCACGACATTCCAAAGCATAATATTGTGCTTTTTACTGCACTACGTTTCATATTAAATATCATTTAATCCTTAATCACATTAGAAATCTATTACTTTCTTACTTTTACTCAAGTAAAAGTAATTCAAAGATTTACACGAGTACAAGAAAGTACTACATTTTTAATGTTCTTAAGTATTAAAGGTAAAACAATAACTTTTATTTATGAAATGCAGTGCAGTAAAAAGTATGACATTATGCTTTGAAGTTTTCCAAAAGAAAAAACTACAGATACTTTTTAAATTTACTTGAGTACAGTAAAAATACTTCACTACTGTCCGCCTCTGATCATTTGCATATTTAAACATAAGATTTTTTGAAAACTTGTAATACAAAAAATGTTTGCAATACTTAATGCATAATAAGGGGAAGTATGGTGATATATATTAGTTAAGTTTTGCATAAAAAAAAACTGTCAGTGTGTTTGAAAATATATGGAAATAAGTTATTCATATTTAAAAAAATGTTTATAATAGTGTTACTGTGTAATCTGATTGGATATATTCTTAATTTATATAGCCTACTTTGTCTTATTTGACTGACAAAATAAAAAAGCCTGTTGATTGAGCAAAGAGAATAATTTTAATAAAAGTATAACCAGCAGGATTCATATTTGCACTGTAGTAAATAAACCATAAAGTGCAACATTAGTTTGAAGTCTTCTCAACTTTACGGATCTGATTGAACAAATCAGCTTTTGAGTCATTTGAGTCATGAACTGAGCTACACGGCTCGTGCTTTATGTTATTAATTCACTAAAAGAAATCGACTCATAAGAGTTGTTTGTGTTCTCCATATGATCCTGGAAGACTTGTGTAAATCTTGGCAATATTCTGACAGAAATAACAGTTATCATGTTAAACTGAGCTGCTGAAAAGCCACTTTGTCTTATTTCATTTTTTTCCCATTGCAAGTGTTTAAAATCTGTATACTTGAAATAAATGTGTTTAATTAGTTTGACAAGTCAGTTTGCTTTGCTTTTATATAAATCAAGAAGGATTTGAAAACAAGCTGTTTGTTGGTTATAATTTTTCTTTGGGTGTACGTGTTTATTCTTTTTACATTCAAATATCATTGCATTTATTTTCATTATTTCTTCATCTTTCTATATAATAATGAGATCATTTTCAGCCAAACACTGTCTGCAGATAAATAGGTGCCTATAATGCACACATGTTCAAAGACACTTGTTGAAATTAGTTTCACTTTCAAACAAATTGACGGGATATCTTTTCCAATAGATACATAATCTTCAGATTATCATGATATTGATTTATTGTATGTTTTGATGAATTCATAAAGCACAATTTTACTTTTTTATTTCTCATGTACAGTCAGCACATTATACACAAGACATAAGCTCCTAAAGACAGAGCAAAATAAATTAATGACATTAATGAACCCTATTCAAGCGTGCAATGACAGTAGAAAACGTGGCATGATGGAAATCATTTTGTTCATCCAAAAATACACTAACAGTTAAAAATTTGTAATAATTTGGAATGTTCAAAATGTTTTTGAAGGATGCCTCTTCTGCTCACCAAGACTGCATTGATTTGATCAAAAATAAATGCAAAAAAATCAGCGTATTAGAACCATTTCTGAAGGATCATGTGACACTGAAGACTGGAGTAGTGATGCTGAAAATTCAGGTTTGATCACAGAAATAAATTACATTTTACATTATATTCACAGAAAACAGTTCTTTTGAATTCTAATAAAATTTCTCAATTTTTACTGTATTTTTGTCATGGTGAGCATAAGAAACATTTGACCGTTGCACATGAAAACAACCTGTCTTAAAAGGTACTTCACAGCGATGCCATAGAAGAACCATTTTTGGTTCCACAAAGAACCATTCAGTCAAAGGTTCTTATAAAAATATACCTTTTTATAATCTGAAGAACCTTCTTTCGCCACAAAGAACCTTTTTGTGAAACAGAAAGGTTAAAGGTTCTTTATGGAACCATTTAGACAAAAAGGCTCTTCTACGGCATCGTGAAGCACCTTTATTTTTAAGAGTGTTCTCACGGCGACGATTTCTTACAATGTTTTTTAATATGAGTAATGAGATTGGTTAGCTGCGAGAAACTCCTCCCGCATGAAGGGCAGTGATACGGCTTCTCTCCCGTGTGAACTCGCTCGTGAACCTTCAGCGATCCAGACTGAGTGAAGCTCTTGTCACAGTGCGAGCACTTGTAGGGTTTTTCTCCGGTGTGAATCCTCTGGTGCTCCTTCAGTCGTTTGGCTGTGGTGAAGGTCTTGCCGCACTCAAAGCACACGTGATCTCTCTCACCGCTGTGTCTTTTCTGGTGCTCTTTAAAATTGCCCGGCCATACAAAACTCTTTCCGCACAAAGAGCACACATACGGCCTCTCATTCGTGTGAACCTTCAGGTGGTTTTTCAGGATGGATGATGACGTAAAACCTTCTCCGCAGTGAACGCAATTAAAAGGCTTCACCCCAGAATGAGAGTGCAGATGATTATTGAGACTGTGCGCCCATTTAAAGGCCTTTCCGCAGTGATGGCATTTGAAAGGCTTCTCTCCGGTGTGAACTCTTATGTGATCCTTGAGGCCTTTTTTACACGTTAAACCCTTTCCGCACTGAGGGCAGATGAACAGCTTCTCCCTGGAGTGGATTCTTACGTGAACCTTGAGGTTGTTTTTGAAGGTGAAGCTCTTTCCGCACTGGTGGCAGGTGTATGGTTTCTCTCCGGTGTGAATCCGCAGGTGATACTTCAGGCTCTCTTTACGTGTGAAACTCTTCCCGCAGTGATGGCAGCTGAAAGGTTTCTCTCCCGTGTGAATTCGTAAGTGTTCCTTAAGGCTGTCTCTCCGCGTGAAACTCTTTTCGCACTGAGGACACATGAAGGAGTTTTTGGCTTCAGTTCTTTGAGTTTTCTTCTCAGTCGCTGAACAGGTTTCTTCAGTTAGGAAAGCATCCTGATTCTGATGTTTCTCCTCCACCTCATCCAGTTCTTCACTTTCTTCTTTCACGTATGTCAAGTCTGCAAAGAACACACACAGACGTACACACAAAGTCAATGAAATAAACAAAATGATATTTGATATGCTAGAATTAAATTCTATCATGCTCATTCAATGCCATCCAATTACTATACAAGGGTAAAATAATGTAAATGTATTTTATGCAACATTAAGCAACATTCTCAGAACGTTCCGGCAAGGTTCTCTTAAAGTTATGAACATTCTTTCAGCAAGGTTAATAGAATATTCGTTCGTGATGTTCCCAAAATGTTACCACAAAATGATTATTTATTCATTGTTCTTGGAAAGTTTAAGTGAAATGTTCATTTAACGTTTTTGAATGTCTGCATGCTCCCTTCACGTTCGTATAACCAAGAAAAAAAAACACTTTTAAAACATTTCTAAAAAATTCAGAGAACATTCAGAAATAACTTGCAAAACATTCTTAGAACATATTTTTGCCAGTTAGGGAGTTATTTGGTTCTCAAAACATTAGCACAGAATTGTTATTATACTGTACATCATTCATGGAACATTTTATTTATGAAACGTTTTAGTTGGACGTTCATTTAACTTTTTTTTTTTTGAAAATTTTACTACTAGTTTCAGAACATTCAGAGAACATTCAAAAGTAACGTTCCCAAAATTCTAAAATGGAATGTTCACATAACAAATAAAACAACGTTTTTAAAACATTTGAAAGGGGTCATATGATGCGATTTCAATTTTTTCTTTCTCTTTGGAGTGTTACAAGCTCTTGGTGCATAAAGAAGATCTGTAAAGTTGCAAAGACTAAAGTCCCAAATCCAAAGAGATATTCTTTATAAAAGTTAAGAGTCAACCACACCTACCTAAAACGCCTCGTTCTAACACGCCCCCACATGTCTACATCACTATGTGGGAAGATTTGCATAACGCCGCCCAAATGTTCACGCAAAGAAAGAAGGTGTAACTTTAATTCTCGCTGTAGTATTGTTGTTGCCGCCGCCGCCATGTCGTGAAGAGCTGTGTTTCGTTGTGAAAGCGAAACTACTTTGTTTGGTCTTCCAAAAGAGGACACGACTAGAAATCAGTGGTTAAGTTGTATTCACAACACTGTTCCAGAACACTTCAACCCAAATATTCAGATGTGTGCAGCACATTTTATGGAGGATGAGGACTGTTTCCTGAACCAGTAGCCTACAATGCTTCTGTGGCACAAAGGCCGTTTCTATAAAGTGGGGCAGCTCCAACTTTGCAAGGACAGTCTGGCGCTTCTGACTCACAGCCTGTAAGTGTTTTTATATTTCAATAATTTGCCACTGATGATTCAAACGTGAGTTTTGAGCAGTGTAGAGTAGGGCTTGTAGTTTGTCATTTCTCCGATCACAAATGCAGACAGAGTTTTATGTTTACGAGGCGCGATATGCAACGCAACGCGTAAAAAAGACAGTATAAGTCATTATAATCCGTAATTATGTCCCCACTGGATGCAACAAATGCCTCATTTGTAATGGGTTTTATTGGTTTTGTCTCGTCCTGCTGGGAGACGGCATCACAGTATGGTGAGGGGCGTAACATTTCAGTCACACGCTTGAGGCTTTCGGCCAATCACAACGCACTGGATAGCTGGCCAACGATGAGCTTTGTAAAAATCGACGCGTTTCAGAAAGGCGGGGCATAGAGGAGAAACAATAATGTACAGTATGTGGAAAAGAATGTGTTTTTTGAACCTTAAACCACATAAACACACTTCATTACACCAAATACACAAAATAATGTTCTTTTTAGCAACATCATATGACCCCTTTAAATATGGGAGGTTTTGACTGTTTTGATAACTTAACGGAAAAACATTCTTATAATGTATATGATTTTCTAAACACAGCCACCAAATTTCAACTGAAGATTTGTTTTATTAATATTCCTCAGCAATAATAATCGATCAAGAATGGACACCAACCTGTTTGTTCCTCAGTATCTTCATGTTTTATTCTGGATGGTTCTGGATCCCTCATGTCTTCAATCTCCTCTTCAACAAACTCTGTCTTTACCACAGTATACATGATTGTACATATATTTCACTTGTTACACCTGGAGTTTGTTCCTCTCTTGTAGGATGATATAATAGTAGCATCAGCTGTGAATGGCCCAAAGAAGTAGTTCTGTCCTAGAAGTCAAAAATAATAAGTTAGTATTTGTTTTTATGCTAATTAATTTTGTTGTAGTTTCTCTTTTCCTTTGCATTTAGGAGCATACCTTGACTGAAAGCCAAATAATTAATAATATATGTGCAATTACATGCAAATATTTTAACACAACAAATGCAAAATCCCAGTGATACTATTTACCAGATGCTGATGATTATGTTCCAGTGACAACAGTCAACACAGTGTAGTTCCACACAAATCATAATAAATAAAACTGCATAATGCATAAATTAATCTCGTGACACATAATTAATGCAGTTTAAACAGCTGACACTGAGAGCTCAGGTGTTATCATTTTGACACAAAAATGACACACAGACGTAGCCAACATGCACAGAAAATGTCAGTTTAAATTTGTTTTACCTTTTGTAGTATCAGTTCTCTATCTCGTCTCCCCTCCCGGTTTTGTGTATTTAATTGTTATTGAAACTCACATCATGCGATTTCATATTGCTGCCTCAAACGCGCTCATCACTGTCGCGAACACCTTCCGTACTGCACATGCTTTTTTGATAAATGCGCTTTAACAATGTATATTGTTGCAGTACATATTTCCCGATTTGTCTTAAAATGATGAATATATGGTTGTACTGTAAAAATGTCTCCAATAGGACAAAAACGTCCCGAGGTTTCAATGCGTCTCAATGGGGTTCAGCAGCATCCAGCGCCCCCTGGAGGGCAACAGGCGAAGTAGCATCGAAGTTGATGTTTGCGACAGTTGGAGCGCGTTTGCGGCAGCATCATGGCAGCGTACGGTGGGAGTTTTGAGAGCGCAAACAGCATTAAATCTAGAAAAGAGGCCAAAAGGGAAGAAAGAGAGCTCGTTTTACAACAGGTAACACCAAGAAACACTTTAAACTAATATTCAGTCAGAATAAGACTCGAAAAGCTACCAGAGTAAGAAGCGAATGCTGCATTTGACAGCTTTGTTTACATTCAAATTTCATGAATATAACGTAACGTTACGAGTTTATGTCTTTATCGTGTCATTTTTGTGTTTCGAAATGTCCTAAAGCGTGTTTTGAACGTCTTTATATGTCGTTTGTCAATATTTGTTGTTTATTTCGATGTATTTATTATGTAAATATATTCCATTATATAAAAGTAATATAACGTTATTACAATTTTTTTATTTATTTAGTCATTTATTAGACGCTTTTATCCAAAGCGACTTACAAATGAGGACAACAGAAGCAATCAATTGTAGTATTAAAACGAAAAACAAAAAAATGAAGCTAAAAACAATTCAAAATAACGAACAATAGGTATGAATATAATAATGATTCTAACATAACACTAAGCCAAACAGCTACACGTGTATGTACAGCCACACACACACACACATACATATATACTGTATATGTACATACACATTTATAAATTCAATATATATTTCATTTCCATTTAGTTTGTTGAAGTATTAAAATAACTCAAATTAAATAAAAACTAAACTTAATAAAAGACCTATACAGACATGATAAATTCAGACAATGTAACTAAAATAAAAATAAATAACAAATACAAATGATACAAATCAAACGACAGTAGTTTATCAGTAATCCTAAAATATAACATTGCCAAACACACATGCTAAACTTAGTAAGAAATGGTTATAAAAACTGAAACGGAAGCGAAACAAGTAGTAGGAAAGAGGAGAAATAAAAAGCGATACTTCTCTACTTCTCATCTGCCCGGTGGAGTCGATGGTCTTTACGCTCTTCTGTCTTCACACGAGGAGGCCTTCACGCGATGGCTGTCTCGGTAAACTAAGCTTTTTTATACCCGTAAATAATTTAAAATACTAAATTAATTCAGCAGGACACACTTTCCTTATTTTCTCCACAACAAATGGCCAAGCAAGCGCAGACACTGACAAGATGCGTGATACAGAACGAGACCAAACGCCATATCAGCACGTCTCCACACAGTAAACAAAACAAGCGATTAATGTGGCAAGATTTGTAGGCTTTACTAAAATAAATGACACTAGCTTTCATATCCTGTTATAAAATGCAATGTTATATTAGCATTAAATCGACCAAATACGTGTCCAAAATACCAATTGTTTTAGAAACAAAATTATCTCTATACGATATAGTATGTATCAAGTAGATGAATCATAATGTAACTTATCTCTTCTGCTCAACAAGGATGCATTTATTTGATAAAAATACCGTAAAAACAGTAATATTGTGAAATATTATTACAATTTAAAATAACTATTGTTTATTTTAATATATTGTAAATTGTAATTTTTTTCGATGATGCAAAGCTGAATTTTCAGCTTCATTACTCCAGTCTTCAGTGTCACATGATCCTTCAGAAATCATACTGTAGAAATTAAAATGCTATGAAAGCTACTTCATGTTATCTTTAACAAGACGTGGTGCACCCCGCCTTGGGTCTTTCATCTCTCTTCACACTGGATTCATATTTTGTGCTTGTTTTTTGCACACAGGAGCATACAGTGAAAAACAAGAAAAAGAAAAAAGAGAAGAAAGCAAAAAAGAGTAAGAAAGAGAAGAAGAAGAAAGCCAAGAAAGAGACAAAAGATGAGGAAGATGCATCTTGTGACAACTCTGAAGTATGTAGCTGGGTGTTTTGGGTTTTATTTTATTGGGTTTTCACGTTACGTTTAGCCCTTTTAATCACATTAAAGGAATAGTTCACCCAAAAGTGAAAATTTGCTGAAATATTACTCACCCATCCAAGATGTAGATGAGTTTATTTCTTCATCAGATTTGGAGAAATTTAGCATTTTCACTTGCTCAGCAATGGATGCTCTGCAGTGAATGGGTGCCGTCAGAATGAGAGTCCAAACAGCTGATAAAAACACCACAATAATCCACACCCCTCCAGTCCATCAGTTAACATCTGGAAAAGACAAAAGCTGAAACAAATCCATCATTAAAACGTTTTAACTTTAAACCGTTGCTTCTGGCCAAAACCCATAATAATGCTTCATCCAGCTTTTGTCTTCTCAAGATGTTAACTGATGATTACTTGTGGATTATTGTGATGTTTTTATCAGCTGTTTGGACTCTCATTCTGGCGGCACCCATTCACTGCAGAGCATCCATTGCTGAGCAAATGGGTGAACCATTAGTTTAAGTGCCAATCTTTGTTTCTTTTCAGGACTCAGAGGACGAGTGGGTGGATGCCCCGGCTCCGTCAGGGGGCGGAGACAAGGCATGGAAGGTGGAGCATGATGCCACGCCCACTGTCAGCTCAGCCAGTGCTAACCGAGTAAGATCCTACTCTAGTGTTGCTGAGTGAGTTTTGTTGGTTATCTGAAATGGGCCCCAATATAAGATCAAGAAACTCTCTCTCCCAATATCCCCAAAATCTCAGTAATATTATTTCGCTCTTAGTGAGAACAGATTTATACTTACTAGTACCTGACATGCATAAGTCTGTTTTGTGTTCTCCAGAATTAATGGAGGCGGTTTGTCATACAGCAGTTTAATGTGATCCGATTACTCTCCTTGCTGTGGTCCGTAATCACAGTCTTCAGAAAGACATTGAGACTATGAGAGAGCGAGAGAGAGTGTGTGTGTGTGTGTGTGTGTCAGAGTGGGTGATTGTTGTCCTACACAGTAAAGCCACTTGTGGAAACTTCAATACTGTTATTAGTTGAATTGAAGAGCTCTCTCTGAGCCGTGAGGGCGTTCACACTGACATCCATTTTCAAAGCCACCAGAAGTCATTCATTTTCAGCGAGGGCTGATGCTATGTGTGCGCTTCTAGCAATGTGACGAAGATGCGAAAGGTTCAATTTTACACGAATGGGCCGAGATGCACACAAATGCTTTTCTGTCCTTTAGAATAGTTCTTTATTGCTTGTGGGTCAAAATAGAATGACATAATTTTTTTTTTTTTTTTTTTACCAGCGATGCCTCTCATTTATGACCAGATTTTCCAAAACGCCCACTACGATGAAGAATATTCTTGTTTTTTGTAGCCTCTGTCTGTTTGACTATTCCTAGAGAGACGAATGGATGACCTTTGACTTCCTGGCGATGAAGACGACCTCTCAGGCAGAGAGACGAGCGCAGAAAGAAGCAGAGAAAGAGGCGGAAAGACAGAAAGCAGAGTCTATCGAACAGGTGAGCGACGTTTGTGTCTCCAAACAACATGAAGGTTCTTGAAGACGGCAGTGCCATTTGTAATTGGTGTTAAAGCAGTCTGTTCTAATCTGTGAAATTAAAAGATGTTCTTCTCAGTTTAATGACACAGCCGTGCATCTTAAAAAAAATTCTGCTGATTACAAAAAAGGAATAATTTTTCCTAATGAGCATGCCGCTTTCAAAAATATCAATAAAAATCTATCACACATGAAGAATTTTCATATTTTATCCCAATAACAAAAGCAGTCAAATGTAAATAGTTTTGATTTTAACAGATTGGACGTTAAACATATATATTTTTTAACGTTTTAACATGTTTTTCACCTTGAAAATAACATTGAATGCTGGTATAAGTCGTGGCCTAATGGTCTTGTACCGACAGGGATTGTAGGTGGGGGGAGTGAATGTACAGCGCTCTCGCCCACCTTCAATAGCACGACTGAGGTGCCCTTGAGCAAGGCACCGAACCCCCAACTGCTCCCCGGGCGCCGCAGCATAAATGGCTGCCCACTGCTCCGGGTGTGTGTTCACGGTGTGTGTGTGTGTTCACTGCTGTGTGTGTGCACTTTGGATGGGATAAATGCAGAGCACTAATTCTGAGTATGGGTCACCATACTTGGCCACATGTCACATGTCACTTCACTTAAAGAAACTGAACTGCTATTATTAACACATAATTGACCTATTTTAGCATAATGTGCATCTCTGCAGAAATTGCTTCTGTGAGCATCGGCAGTTTGTGTAGTGAATGCTTGCAATGAACAATACAAATTTCATTGGTTTATATTTCATGTGCAGAATGCTGAGAAATACCTCCGTTCAGTACTGGTTGAAAGTTTGTGTGTCATAATTTACATTATTTTCATTGAATTATCTTCTCCTTGATGCAAACACCTGTTAAACTTGGGTTCAGACCATGCAACCAAGTGTTAAAATAAGCACTTTTGTAGTGTATGTTTTTGTGTTTATCTTGTGTGTCTCTCTCTTTCTCTCAGGCTGGTCTTCTCAGGTTAGAGTTGAACCCTTACTGGAAGGACGGAGGAAGTGGTCTGCCCCAGGAGGACACCTCCAGTACTGCAGTTAAAAAAGGTAAACGCCAAAACCAAGTGTGATGATCCGACACGGCCAGACTCCGAAAGATTACCTTTTGTCTCAGCTGCTGTAGGCGATACAGTTTGTGTGAAATCCTGTAAAAAAAAAAAAAAATGATTTTTCGAAAATTATTGGAGTACTTTTTACACAAAACTTCTTTATTGGTCTCTCTGCTTCAAAATTCCATGTTTAATTCATTGTTACTTGTCGCTCTTGTAGTTATTTGTGAAATTTATTAGCAATTTCTGAGTGAAAATGGTAAAATACATCAATGTAAACAGTGTAGAGCAGTTCAACTGTCCTTTGGCATTTTTTTGTGTTATTATTCTTCACATCCTTCATTTTTATGAAGTCAGTTGATTAGACATCATTTTAGATTGTTAAAATTTAAATAAACCATTTGAAAGGGAATTACTTTTTGTTAATTGTATACCATGTGTAATTTATTCTGAGATCGCCATGAAATAGCCTTGATGCTGAGTTAAAAAGTGGATCAAATAAATAAATTAGAAACGGAATCTAGAAAAATTCAAACAAAACATGGAACTTGTGAAAATATCAAATGGAATGGGAACAATTATTAATATAAATATATATATAGTATTATTATTACTTCAAAAAGTTTAAATTCTATTCTGTAAAATGGTAAATTGTCCTATATAATATATGTTATTTAGTATTTGTAATAATATAATAATAATAACAGATTTCACAGTGTTCTAGCATTTCACAATGCTTTTTACCTTTGCAGAAACTGCATTTGTCTAGACATTTGCATCTTTCGCAAAGTGTCCACAAACATTTGTGTTGCAAACACTTGCAATGAACAACAGTTTTTGTCTCCTGTTGATTTATATTTCATGTGCAGAATGTTGAGAATGTATTCAGGTCTTTGTAATGTCATATCAAATTAACATGGGCCATAAAACCCATCTTCTCTCAGAGTTAATTAATAAAATTAATAAAAATTCATGTTATTCACCCCTAAATGTAAAAAAAGACAAATTAGCATTTACATGTTGGTCAAATAACCTTCTGAAAAGCTAAATTGGCTGTTTGTGGCAAAAAATGAGCTGCAATTTTAACCAGACTTTAAAAGTTGGACTATGTGGATCTATTCATTTTGTAACCCATGCTCTTGTAGAGAGAGTTTAAAGCCAATGAGCTGCTCTCGTCCTTTTTCATTTTTCATGATTCATTCGATGCATTTTCTCTTTGTCATTTAAATATACTGTTTCACTTGTCACATGGTTAGGATGAGGAGTTAAAATGGCATTTGGCATTGACGTTAAGATGACAGCGCAGCTCTTATCTGAGCTCTGTACAGGCCGAGCGGGAAGTGTTTATTTGACAGATGTTTTACACTGATTTCTCTCTGTCTGAGCTGGAGTGGTGAATGATGGAGGGGTGAGCTGGCTCAGGAAGTCATATCAGAGGATGAAAGAGCAGGCCGACAGAGAACAGCGCAGTCTGGAGAGCGTGGTGGCGGAAAGATACGGGGTGAACACACACACACACACACACAGCAGTGGTAAACAATAGCATCTCTCTGTGCTTCAACACACTGTAAAGTTGCTTCCCTTCTGCGATTGTTCACAGTTTGTGCATGGCAGTGTTTCTTAATTTGATTCATACTTAAAGAACTAGCTTATAATAGTCATTTGTTCATGAAACTGAACGAATCATTGCTGTTGTGCAACCAATAAGGACATGTGATGCAACATGTGATGATGTTGTCGTATTATTTCACACTGTCCAGTTTCTCTCTCTAGTCACATTCCGTTTAGACAGCAAGATCGTAACTCATCTAAAATAGAAAATCGTACTTTGCGGAGCTTCATATTCTGTAGCAGAGCTTTTTGTAGAAAAATGTTTTGCAATTCTCCATACAGATATGCTCTGAAATAAATCAGACTTTTGAATCAAACATTACAGATTTTGACTTAAAATAAAAAATAAAAAAAAAACTCCCTTGAATGACAATCACATAAAAAACCCCAGCATAATATGAAATGATTGATTTATAGTTATTGATTGTACATATAAAATACAATACATTTTACATTTATTGCAAAATAACATTTGAATATATTAATTTAATATATTGTAATATGTTGTATATTAATATATAAACTAATAAATTAATATATTTTACATTTATTGCAAAAGAATTGCACAAATATATTTACATTTATTGCAAAATAATATATTTGAATAGTGTATTATTAAATATATTTTAATATAATATTATAACATATATTAATATATAAATGTATCTGAATAAAATATTAATGTCATTTATATGTAATTTATATTTTTTAAATTGTATATATATATATAGAGAGAGAGAGAGTTAAATATCATGATATATCATAATTTATTAATCTTAATTAATGGTAATTCCAACATTTACTAATACATTTTTAAAATCAAAAGTTGTATCTGTTAATATTCTTTAATGGACATGAGCTGATATGAATTAACAATAAACAGCTGTATTTTTAATAACTCGACAAAGATGAATAAATACTGTAACAAATGTATTGCTCATTATCAGTTAATGTTACTTAACTTATTATTAACCAATGTTAACTAATGGAACCGTATTGTAAAGTGTTATGAATTAAGTACATATATATATATATATATATATATCATAAAAATATATTAAAACATTAAGTATTTTTATAATACATCAAAATATATTATTTTGCAATTAATATATTTACATTTAAAATATATAAAATATTACAATGTAAATATAAACATAAATACAAAATGACTTTTAGAAATTTGTATCCAGTAATCACAAATGATTCATTGGAAATGTCATCAAGTCAGGGAAATTTATTTATTCTATACAAGTTTTTGAACTTATTTTACACTTCTGTGAACGTTACTTATGCTAAAACTGATTGGGTTTGTCAATCTACCAGTTCAGAGAGCGAGGAAGAGGAGGAGGAAGAGGTGATCCTGACGGATGAAGAGATGAATAAACTGGGAGCCAAACTGGTCAAGGCAGAACTCATGGGAAACACGGTGAGCTCATTAAAACTCTCCTGGAAACCATGTGACCTAGACATAATGCACTAAAATGCTTTCTTAATAGGAAGCTCACTAGGGCTCACGGTCTTCATGTGCTAGAAGTAGACTCTGATACTGATGGGATGTTTTGATTGTGTGTGAATAATCACAGGCGCTGGTGGAAAATCTGAAGGCTCAGATGCAAGCGGCCCGTCGAGCCAAAGAGAACCGAGCTCAAAGAAAAGCCCAGAACAAACCGGTTTCTGCAGCAACAGACTCTGAAAAGGACGTGGTGCTGTTCAGGACTGACCCAATGGGACGAGCCTGGCCGGTCAAAGCCCCGTCCCAACCACAGGAGCCTAGAGGAGGACGGAGGAAGCGGAAAGCAGTGAGACACACAGCTTTGAAGTGTTGTTATAGCTACCTAAAACTAAAACCATAAAAAAAAAAAATTGTTGCTTGAAATAATATTAACATTAACTAAAATAAATTATAATATTTCTCATTTTGTTTAACTTGATATATTAAAATAACTAAAATCAAAACTGAAATAAAGATTCAAAACTATATAGACGTTAAAAAAATAGTAACTACTAAAAATGACAAAAACGCACAAAAAATTTAAAATGAAAATGTCAGTGCAAAAATACAATTAAAAACGAATTCAAAATATTAAAAGAACATACTAGTATCTCATCAACACTAAAACACACTGTTGCTTTGTTATTTTTATATTTTCATTTTGATTTTAGTTATTTTGTTTTGTGCATTTGTCATTTTTAGTTGTTTTTATTCTTTTCTTAAAGTATGGCTATTTAGGTTTAATTTATTAAGTTTTTTTTGTTCAGTTAGGGTTAGGGTTTTTAGGGTTTATTTATGTCCTCTTAGTAATTTCAGTTCAGTTAGTTGCTAAGGCATTATTTTAATTTTCATAATTTTCATTAATTTTTTATTTAATCTAATATTCATATTTTATTTCAGCTTTATTTCAAATAACAAAAATATTTTTAATAGTTTTAGTTGTATTTTAAGTAACTGAACTTTTACTCTTGACATGATGTGATTTTGCTAAATATGGTAATTTGATTGGAGTTTACTTCTAATTAATATTAACTTGTAGCCTGTTAAACTACAACTCCCGTTTTCTCCTCTTCCGTGATTTGTAGATCGAGACGCACCAGGATGGTGAGCGTGTGCGCTATTTTAAGGATGATGATGGTATGGATCTGCAAGAGATGGTCAGACGGGAGAAGATGAGCTCTGCTGAAGATCAGAACGCTCTTTACTCGCGCATGGCGGCCAAGGTGAGCGTCAGTCTCCTTTACAGACTCTTTACACACCAAACACTGATAAATGACTGTGTGGAGTTTAGCCAATCAGCAGAAAACTGCAATAAGTAGTGTGTGTGTTTCTAAAGGGTGTTCACAAAGATTTAATTCAGGATTCAGGGTTGGGTTATTATGGTTTACTAAAACTATCAAATATTTCATTACTTGAATTCAGGGTTGTTATTATTATAGTTAACTAAATCTAAAATAAATAAATAAAAAAGTTTCTTGACATAAAATAAACATTAACTGGAATAAAATATGAAAACGCTTTATTTCAGTAAGTTGCCGATGTAACATTTCTCATTTTAATTTAGTTTAACTTGAAAATAACTAAAACCGAAATATTAATAAATTAATAAAAACTATATAGATATAAATTAATAAAAGCTACAAACAAAAACATATAGGAAAAATAAAAAACTGATTCAAAATATTAATAAAAACTATAATAATATCTTAATGATACAAAATAACACTGATTGAAATAAAATAAACTAAATAAAATATAATATTATAAAAAGCTTACACTTTTTTGTTTAATTTAATGTGTTAAAATAACTAAAACTACAACTGAAAAAAAAACAAAGTATATAGAGATATAAAAAAACGAACTAAAAATTACACAACAAAATGACTAAAACGTTAATTGATATTCAAATGAAAATGGGAAATAAAAAATGAAAAATCAAATTCAAAATATTAGCGAAAACTATAATGGAATCTCAGTGTTACTAAAATAACACCATTGTTTCCATTACAGATTTGCGCAAAACTTTGGCGATATTTTCTGAATATCGATAAAAAAGTATTGCGAAATGACGGCGTTTCCGTTAACCAATGTTATGCGGCTAAAACGTAACCTTTTGCCTCTCACGATAAGTCATGGCAACGGATTTTGGTGGGATTTTGACGGATTTTGGCTATATTTATTCAAAGGAGGCTTATGCATGTATCTTTACAGAAGCAGCAAAGAGAGCCGCTTCAGAAACGTGCGTGGCACGGCTGGAATAAACCATTGACTGTATAAAACATAAACACAAGCATTGAGTGGCCGTAATCAGCTTCAGTGACCGTATCAGAGCCACACTGCACCGCAGACGTGTGCAGTGTAAATTGTCTAAGTATTAATAGTAGGGAAAGCCCCTTATACTGGAGCGCGGCCACTTATGAAGTACTTCTTGGAGGTTATAGTACATTGAAGAATGATCATATGACTTTTTACATACGCCATGTGACCTGTAAATGCGAAAAAGCCGTTTCCATTGCAGTTTTGCGAATTAATCCTTTTTCGCATTGCCTGAAAAACCACCTCATGCAAGCGTAAAAACTTTTTTGCAATATATGGCCGTTTTTGCGAAATTGACGCGTTTCCATTAGGCGTATTTTCAATTCGCAATTTCAATTTGCGCAATTTGAAGGGTAATGGAAACGCGCCTACTGACTGTGTTATTTTCAATGAGAGTGCTGATGCTTTTTTTAGCTTTATGCAAATGAGCAGCAATGTAATTGCTATTATTAGCCTGAAGACATTAGAGCACGTCATTTTTAAGTCTGTTGTTAAAAAAAATAAAATGTGTGACGTATAGAAATATTCGGCTGCTTTAATATATCAGGCCTGAGTTTGTGCACAGACAGCCTGTGGTTGTATATTTGTCTGAGCTCGTCTATGCTCGTAAGACAGACAGGCATCAGCAGATGGTGGCGGTGTGATCAATCTCTCAGTCTGTCCTCCTCTCTGACTGCAATGTGATTTAGTGTTTCTCTGATTTTAAACCCGGGCAGGGCTACTAAAATCCGTTATAATAAACTAAGACGTCACGGTCGCCATGGAGACCAGAAATATAAAAGTGACAAACATTTGCACATTTTAGCGGCACATCTCTCTCCGTCTCTCTCTGCCAAGTTACCATGGCATAGCAGCTAAAAGTGTTATTAATATATTTATTTCACCAAATTGACCAGTAGCTGTGTGTGTTTGTGTAATTGCAGTGCATGTAAGGCTGCGTCGTATTGCATTCATTTCAGCTGAACTGCGGAACGTTCGACTCCTTTCAAACTTTTGTAGAGAATTTTTAGAATGTTGACGTCACATTTATAGAATGTTCGCTATTCAAAAGACGTCACGGTCGCCATGGAGACCAGAAATATAAAAGTGACAAACATTTGCACATTTTAGCGGCACATCTCTCTCCGTCTCTCTCTGCCAAGTTACCATGGCATAGCAGCTAAAAGTGTTATTAATATATTTATTTCACCAAATTGACCAGTAGCTGTGTCTGGTCTTGTGTGTGTTTGTGTAATTGCAGTGCATGTAAGGCTGCGTCGTATTGCATTCATTTCAGCTGAACTGCGGAACGTTCGACTCCTTTCAAACTTTTGTAGAGAATTTTTAGAATGTTGACGTCACATTTATAGAATGTTCGCTATTCAGAATCTAACTGACAGCGAATTATGTCATTGAAATATTTGCACTTGCATTCACTAAAATTTACTAACGATGAGCAATACATGTTACAGTATTTAGTCATCTTTTTAATGTTAGTTAATAAATCTAATACAGATGTTCATTGTTAATTCAGCTCCATTACATAATACTAACAGATGTGACTTTTGAATTGTAATAATATACTAATAAAAGTAAAAAAGAAACACTAACTAAAATTAATAAGTGCTTTACAAGTATTGTTCATTACGATGAGCAATACATGTTACAGTATTTAGTCATCTTTTTAATGTTAGTTAATAAATCTAATGCAGATGTTCATTGTTAATTCAGCTCCATTACATAATACTAACAGATGTGACTTTTGAATTGTAATAATATACTAATAAAAGTAAAAAAGAAACACTAACTAAAATTAATAAGTGCTTTACAAGTATTGTTCATTGTTAGTTCAAATTAACTAATGTTATCAATTCAGTTAACATGTTAACAAATCAAAGCTTATTGTAAAATGTTACCTTATTTTTTATTATTTATTTATTTATTTATTATTTATTTAATGAATTAATACATATATTTGATTTCTAATTATTTAATTAATGTGACTTTTAATAATAATTTGTTTTAATTAAATACATTTAAAAATATGAAAAAAATTAAATCTCCATTTGATTCTTTAATTAATTTATTTGATTACTTTAAATTCAGATGTGAAATCAATTTAAATGTATGATTCAAGTATGAAATTCTCCTTTGGTTCACAGTAATACAATGTAATATTTGTTATTGTAATATTTGCAAATTTGTTGATTCATTATTTATTTATTTGATTAAATAATTTATATTTTAATTTTGATAATTATATTTTATTATTTTTTCATAAAATCATAAAAATATGATTAAAATGTAAAACTCTCCCTTTGGTTCAAATAAATAGAATGTAATCCCAGCAATGATGATGTTATTGTAATATTTTGATTGGTAAAAAATAATCTTAGTAATTTTATTGCAAACTGATTTTTTTTATTCCTTGCATCTATTTAACTCTTAATAGCCACTTTTACAGTGCAGACACAGTCATGTGTTATGTGTTGATTCTTGTGTATATTCTTAAGCAGTCGACCGTAACCAAGATGTGCCAAAACCTGCATTTAAATGAAACTGAAAATGCAAATCTAGTTGTTAGATTGGTATATGTAATCCAGACAGCTGTCGGCCAACCACAGACCTGCACACAAACTATCCTTAAAATCTCTGCTCTGTCTAGGTTTTTATTTGCATTAGCTGGAGTCAGAAAGCATAAAAGCAGAGCATAAACTCAGAATTGAAAGTGCAGTCAGACTCTCCAACACTCTCACTCTCACCTCTCCATCTGTCAATCAAACATGCCAGCGTGAACAGACACGCCTCCCACACAGATCACCCGTTGCTACGGATACATTGCCTCTTTGTCTGCTTGTTGTAGCACAGCGTTAAAGCTCTCTCGCTCTTGCGTGTGTTGGAGAGAAACATACATGCTCTGTTAGCGTAATCTCTGCGGCCCGGTAGCATCTGCTACTGCTTTCTGGATTCTGCTCCAGATAATGACCCGCAGGTTTGCCAGCAATCAGCAGTGAATCCGCACCTGACCCTCAGTCAGATCATATGGCCACCTGCCGCCCAATCAGATCACCTGACCTCTGTTTCTCTCTCAGAAGTGCATGGCTTCTTCCTAATCTGCGTATTATCACTCCTGTATAGTATACAAGATAATAATCAGGGTGCCTTAAATCATAGTAAGTAAGGCTTCCAATATAGTGTACTATTTCCAAAGTATTTTGGACTTATACTAGTACTTGGATTATTTTTTACACAATTACTAGTACATACTTTTCTTAATAGTGAAGTATAAGAGTGGTAGGGATTTGTCAGCTGAGGCAGTTTTTAGTTGTGATAGTGTCTCAGTCCACATTGACACAGGTGTTCGATATTTATTTATTTATTTATTTGGTTATTTATGTATCTGTTTACTTATTCATTCGTTCATTTTACTATTATTAATAATAAATAATAATGAATATTACACTGTGTTTGGTCCATACTTGGCCACACATCACGTCCTTTCCTTTCCATTATGAGATTGTTATTTTTATTATCAAATTGTATTATTATTTCTATTGTTATATTGCATTTATTCTATTATTATCATTACTATTATTAAGTCCAATTCTAAAAATGAAGACAAAAACTTTTTTTATTATCTGTATATCTATTACTATAAAAAGTTAACTTATTAGTACAAAATCCAGTGAAAAATTAGTTTTTGATAATAATTATAATAATTATTACAGATTACAAAATTAATATTTATGTCTTACAGTTTTCACTTGCAAATGTTCAAATCCACAAGCTTTTATTTTGTCCCAACATTGGTGAAATGCTGTAAACTTTTGTCCGGAACAATTTTGGAAATTATGCAAATGTGTAAATAAAGTAAACTTACCGCTTATTGCGTCCCAAATGCGGCATAGTAAAAAGCTGCATTTACTTTGAACTGAGGCACTGAATACAGTGGATTATCATACAGCCTCATTTATTCATGTATTTTAGTTTCACATTCAATATAACTAATTACTAGCTTTTCATCAACTTTCAAACCCCTGTTTTGGCGCATGAGTTACTAGACTCGTAAAACGATTCTCATTCCTCTGTCCTGAACTGCTTTCAGCTCTTAAATCAAGATAAAACTCACAGACATGCAAGATAAAGTGACTGATAAAAGTCTGCATGCAAACAGAACTCTGTGTGTTTGTTTTTACTGGATTTGTATGTTTTGCAGATGATGGGGAGGACAGACGGCGATAACTACACGCTGGATGACATGTTTGTGTCCAGCGCGGCTCAGAGGGAAAGATCGGATCGAGACGAAGAGCGGCAGAGGAACAAAGCGGTGCAGGAGACGCGGCGGTTAGCTGGACAGATGGAGAAATGTAGACACTGCTTTGATAGCCCTGAACTGCCCAAACATCTGATCGCCGCTGTCGGAAACAAGGCATGATATATTATTTTTTTTAGAATCAATTCGTTTTTAAAGAATCAAGTTTGATATCAGTTTACATATAAATGTAAATTATTGCGAGAAAATCATACTAAAATATATTTGTCATCATTTCACCTTAGTAACTGCATAGCAACTCCCTGGCAACCACTTAGCAACCTCATAGCAATGTCGTAGTTACCACTTAGAACACCTTAGCAACTGCATAGCAACAACCCAGAACACACTAGCAAGCAACCACATAGCAACATTCTGGCAAACACGCTAGCAACCTTATAACAATGCACCAGTAACCACTTATAGGACCTTATCATCTTCCTAGCAACCACCCAGAACACCATAGCAACGCTCTGGCAATCAGTAGCTCTTAGTAACCTACAGTAATGTCCCAGTAACCACTCAGAACACCTTAGCAACTGCATAGCAACAACCCAAAACACCATAGTAACACCCTGTCAACCACCCAGAACACCTTACCAATTGCATAGCAACAGCCTAGAGCACCTTTGCAAAGCATAGCAATAGCCTAGCCTACTAACCACTTAGAACACCTTAGCAGCTGCATAGCAACAACCCTAAACTCCATAGCTACGCCCTGGCAACCACACAGCAATGCCCTGGCAACCACTCAAAACACCTTAGCAATCTCATAGCAAAGCCCTATCCCACTTACCACTTAGAACACCTTAGCAACTGCATAGCAACAACCCAGAACACCTTAGCAACCACATAGCAACACTCTGGCAAACACCCTAGCAACCTTAAAACAATGCACTAGTATCTGCTTAGAAGACCTTATCATCTGCCTAGCAACAACCCAGAACGCCATAGCAATGCCCAGGAAACCATCCAAAACACCTTAGTAACCTTACAGTAATATCCCATTAACAGCTTAGAACACCTTAGCAACTGCATAGCAACACCCTGGCAACCACCAACAACACCATAGCAACCTTATAGCAACAACCCACAGCACCTTATCAACCTTATTGCAGTGCTGTAGTAACTTCTTTGAAGACTTTAGCAACTGCCTAGCAACCACCCAGAACACCATAGCAATGCCCTGGAATCCACCTAGAACACCTTAGCAACCTCATAGCAACAACCTTGAACACCTTAACAATCTTATAGCAATTTTCCAGTAACCACCCAGAACACCTTGGCTATCTCATAGCAATGCCCTACCCCACTAACCACTTAAAACACCTAAGCAAATGCATAGCAACAACCTAAAAAACATAGCAATGCCCTGGCAAACACCCAAAACACCTTAGCAATGGCATAGCAACGCCCTGGTAACCATCTAGAACACCTTAGCAGCCTCATAGGAATGTCCTAGGCACTGCTTAGAGCACCTTAGCAACTGCATGGCAACAACCCAAAACAACTTATCAGTAAAACAGTAATGCCCTGGCAACCATTTGGGACACACACACACGTTCACAGACTAATTTGCTTTAAATAGCATTTCGTCTCATGCTGTTAGAAACACTGTATATCTGTGGCAAAATAATCCTGATCTCTCCAGCAGCAGTCTGGCCGTTTCGGGTGTTGTGCACTTAAAGAGGATTCCTCCTGATGCTCAGTTCGTCCATGTATGTTTGAGATGACAGGAGACGGACTGCGGGACGAGCTCGAGATTTTAGTGCGCTGTCCTCATTAATCACATGACGAGTGTGTTTTCTTTTGCACAGGTGTACTTGTGTCTGCCGAACAGTGTGTCTCTGACCGAAGGTCACTGTTTGATCGTCCCTATCCAGCATCACACAGCGGCCACGGGTCTGGATGAGGACATCTGGAGTGAAATACAGGTACAAACGTTGCAAACATGTGCTGATGTATGTATACTTATTCGTTTGTGCTACAGGCATGAATAATGCATAAGGAACCACCCTGAACACCTAAACAACTCCCTGGCTACCACCTAGAACACCTTAGCAACCCCTAGTAACCACCCAGTACAAACTCGATAGTAACCACCCAGAACATCTTAGCAACTCCCTAGCAACCACCCAGAACACCTTAGCAACTCCCTAGCAACCACCCAGAACACCTAAGCAACTCCCTAACAACAACCCAGAACAAACTCCCTTGCAACCACCCAGAACAATCTCCCTATCAACCCCCAGAACGCCTTAGCAACTCCCTAACAACCACCCAGAACTCCAATAAAACACAAATAAAAGACTATCAGGATGCACTTTCTGCCATGTTGTCTCCAACCCACTCACATTATTTAAGTAATAACATGAATATAAACATTTGATTAGCTGATTAATGGATTAAATGAATGACTACTAATGCGCCCTCTCTCTCTCTCTCTCTCACTTTCTTAGATGTTCAGACGGGCTCTGGTCCGCATGTTCGAGTCTCAGGAGTTGGACTGTGTGTTTTTGGAGACTCATATGAATCCGAAGAGGCACCTGCACATGGTGTACGAGTGTGTGCCACTGCCCAGAGAGCTCGGAGACATGGCACCCATTTACTTTAAGGTAACTTGGAACAAACAGCCTCAAACTGGTGTCATAATAGAGCACAGCAGTGACTGTCCAGTTCTTCAGCGGCCTTGATTCTGAAAGTGTTTTTCCTCTTAATTTTTCCTATAGATCTTTGTAGAAAAGCTATTTTGAGAAGAGCGTTTTGATAAACATATGCACTGTTACATATTCATTATATTTTTACTTAAAGGCACAATATGCCATTTTCGCCACTAGAGGGCGCGTATTCAAAATAAACAAATAGACAAGTAGTTTGATGAAGCAGTGACTGAGTGTGGAATTATGGGAGTTGTGGTCTTCATCCCCACAGCCGATGCAATCCGACGGGACTCGGGCAGAAATCATGTTCATGGATGAGCTAATGATCTATTAACGTACTAGAATGAAGCAGGGTGACGCTGAAAGCCGCTGAAGCGAAACGAGGCGCTGAACAAGCGCGACACACGGCTGGAAAGCAGCGGAGCTTTTATCATGCCACAGTCGACCACTTCCGCTGCTTCCGGTCGTGCGTATGTGGGGTAAAGCAGCGGAGCTTTTATTATGCCACAGTCGACCACTTCCGCTGCTTCTGGTCGTGCGTATGTGGGGTAAAGCAGCGCTGTTTTATCATACAAGATACAATTGAAAGTTCTGTTATAATGCTACTCTGTGCGGTCGTCGTTAAAACGCACAACATATTAAAGCGTCTTTGGTGTTTCCATGTTTTCTACAAAACAAAGACGGAAATCGAGGGGTTATGACGTCATTGGCAGGCGACACTATAGACTCGCTCCGTGTCACTAATTAAAATGGCTTATTTCTCTGGATTTAAACATTCTTCGAAACATTTGGGATAATGTAAGTAGTACACAAGCCAGCAAAATATATAACACTGTTCTAGTGGTTTTGGGATATTTTAATAAAAAACTCTTACATAACCGTTTTAGAAGACCTTATCAGTGGCATAGCAACCACACAGAACACTATAACAACTCCCTGGCAACCACCCAGAACACCTTAGCAACAGCATAGCAATATCCTGGCAACCACCCAGAACATCTTAGCAACAACAAAACGACAACACAGAACACTTTAATAGCCAAACAGCAATGCCCTGGCAACCACATAGAACACTTTAACAATTGCATAGCAACACCCTGGCAACCACCCAGAACACTTTAGCAACTTAGGTTTAACTGAAGTTTAAGTAACTGCTTAAAACACTGTAGCGACTGCATAGCAGCAGCACTTTAGCAGCCAAACAGCAATGCCTTGTCAACCAGCCACAACACCTTAGAAACACCCTGGCAACCACCCAGAACACCTTATCAACAGCATAGCAATGCCCTGGCAACCACATAGAACACTTTAACAATTGCATAGCAACACCCTGGCAACCACCCAGAACACTTTAGCAACTTAGGTTTAACTGAAGTTTAAGTAACTGCTTAAAACACTGTAGCGACTGCATAGCAGTAGCACTTTAGCAGCCAAACAGCAATGCCTTGTCAACCAGCCACAACACCTTAGCAACGCCCTGGCAACCACCCAGAACACCTTAGCAACAGCATAGCAATACCCTGGCAACCACCCAGAACATCTTAGCATTATCAAAACGACAACACAGAACACTTTAACAGCCAAACAGCAATGCCCTGGCAACCACATAGAACACTTTAACAATTGCATAGCAACACCCTGGCAACCACCCAGAACACTTTAGCAACTTGGGTTTAACTGAAGTTTAAGTAACTGCTTAAAACACTGTAGCGACTGCATAGCAGCAGCACTTTAGCAGCCAAACAGCAATGCCTTGTCAACCAGCCACAACACCTTAGCAACGCCCTGGCAACCACCCAGAATACCTTAGCAACAGCTAGCAATACCCTGGCAACCACCCAGAACATCTTAGCATTATCAAAATTACAACACAGAACACTTTAACAGCCAAACAGCAATGCCCTGGCAACCACATAGAACACTTTAACAATTGCATAGCAACACCCTGGCAACCACCCAGAACACTTTAGCAACTTGGGTTTAACTGAAGTTTAAGTAACTGCTTAAAACACTGTAGCGACTGCATAGCAGCAGCACTTTAGCAGCCAAACAGCAATGCCTTGTCAACCAGCCACAACACCTTAGAAACACCCTGGCAACCACCCAGAACTCCTTAGCAACTTCATAGCAATGCCCTAGTAACTGCTTAAGATGCCTTAACAACTGCATAACAACAACACTTCAGAAGCCAAACAGCAATGCCCTGGCAACCACTCAAAACACCTTAGCAACAGCATAGCAACACCCTGGCAACCACCCACAACACCATAGCAACAAACCAGAACACCTTAGCAACCGCATAGCAATGACGCAGAACACTGTAGCAACTGCAGCAATCGTTTAGCCGTCTTGGTTCTCAGTTAAAAGTAAACTTTCATTTCGATATTTTTATTTTGGTGCATCATTTATAATTTTAAAAACCATTTGCTCAATGAGGAAAATTAATAGGATTTTTACTTGTATAATTCTATAAATCTGACTGATCAGCATTAAAAAAAAAAAACATCTACTGTGTGTGTGTTCAGAAAGCCATAATGGAGTCGGATGAGGAATGGGCCATGAATAAGAAGGTTGTGGATCTCTCATCCAGAGACATCAGACAAGCTGTGAGTTTTTTTCTGTTTTCTCCTGATGTCTTTTATTCTTCCTCCTCTCTCTCAGTGTTTGACGTCGCTCGTGTTTTCTCAGGTTCCTCGCGGGTTGCCGTACTTCTCCGTGGATTTTGGATTGCAGGGCGGATTTGCGCACGTTATCGAGAACGAGCAGAAGTTCCCACACTATTTCGGCAAAGTAAGTCTGACAGTAGTCTTATTGTGAAGCTTTACAAACAAGCAGAGCAAAACTTAATTTTTTTTAAGGGGTCATGAACGGCCTCTGTTTTTTATTTTCTAGTGTTCTCAGAGGTCCACTTATAATGTTATTTTTACATAAAAAACATAGTTTAGAAGTAATAGGCTATTTTCTGTCCTGTTTTTAAACCCCCCTCATCAGAACGCTCTGTTTGAATAGGCGTGACGGATTGTAGACTCAGAAGTAAACGCCCACTGCTATGATTGGCTAAGAGTTGTGTATGTTTGACAGGTACACTCCTCACCGATGGACGCTGCTGTGATATGGTTAAAACCGCATAAATGCTCAGTAGATATTAAACGATCTATTTAACAGACAAAGCAATAGTGATCAGTTACTCACACTCGTGTGTTGCGACATTACTGTCGGATCCAATATAGTCGGAACAGCATCACCTTTGTTAATCTTTCTGAAAATCCCGTGTCGAATTGTGCCTTGTTTGTAAACGAATCTGTGGTAAAATGAAGTGAACAAAGGACTGTGTTCTTACTGACGCGGTCTGGATCTTCTGTATCTTTATCGTTTGGTTTCTGTGTAGACCTGCGCCTCTCTCATAAACACTACATGCGCGAATCAGTGGGCGGTGCTAAACAGACAGCGATGTAGAAGCAGGCGTTGATCATCTTCTGCGGAGGCAGAGTTTATCCACACTATTACATCATAGAGTAGAATATTCCAAAAGCGGTCGTTTTGGCAGACTGGCTTCAATATAAGCTGTTTTTAGAACAATGAGAAAGTTTTGAGTTCTGAAACTTACAGGATGTTTTTATAGAACAATGACCAAGGGAATTTTGATTTCTCAGTTCATGATCCCTTTAAAATCACACTTTAAATCACTCAGCAGATCAAATCTCAGTCAATATCTCAGCATATTGACTGAGATTTGTTCTGTCTCCATCAGGAAATCCTGGGCGGGATGCTGGACCTGGAACCGAGACGATGGCGGAAACCGATACGTGAGAATTTCGACGACCAGCGTAAGAAAGTTCTGAAGTTGGCTCAGTGGTGGAAAGCGTTTGACTGCACTAAAACCGACAGCTAGACACTGAGACAGTGTGCTTCCTCAACTCTATAGAGACTTTTCCATACTTGAATTGTAATTTTAGAGGGCTTGTCATGTGTACATGGCTCTAGTATCTAAAGTAAAATGTCTAGAAAATAGTCATTGAAACCAGGCATGCTTTATCTGGTCTGAAGATTTTTATGGGACCCTTTTCATGTTTCACATCTAGGTAAATGTTTTGTTTTTTTAATTAAATATCAACCCAGGAAATATTTGGTTTTCTCTTAAATATAATACCTGCTCTCATCCAGTGTTGATGTAAATCATGTTTTCCTGAGCAATTAAACTCAGAATAAAATATTACAAGACCTCCAGCCGCTCAGCTGATTATGTGCTCTGGCTTTATAAGATGATTATGTTTAGATGAAGTCTCGCTCCTCGTTCCTGTGAACCTGACCTTGAGTTCACCCTGAGCACCGATCATCTGTGGGGTGATGTTGTTTAATTTAGTGAAAGAAAGAAATCTGTTTTGTTTTTATAGCTATATTTTAGGCTGTGCTAACATGCACATTAAACTGATGTTGCAAATGAAGATTCTTAAAGAAATCTGCTTTAAAAAAAACATTAAAGAATTCAAATGTGCATTGCATAGAAGACAAAACGCCACAAAAATATTTCGTTCTGAGAAAAAAACAGAATTGCAAGCTATAAAATTACATTTGCGAGATATAAACTTGCAATTTTGAGAAAAAACTCCGAATTCCAAGATATTTACTACTAAAAAAATGTGATTGCGACTTCTTAGCTCACAAGTAATTCTATGTAAAATTTCACAAAAGAAAATGTAAAACATTTTTTTTTTTTTTTTACATTTTGCAGTTCTGAATTTTTTTCTCTTAATTCTGTTTACATATCACAATTCAGTTCAAAATAAAATTCAATTCAAATTTCTCAAAACTTCTGGCACTTTTTCTTGCAGTGGTGAGTTGTGAGTAAATCTAACACACTTTTCTTCACGCACACACACACACACACACGATGCGCAAAACTCCGCATTTGAACAGTCAATAGCAAATACTTAAACTAATAACAAAACAGTAGCTGATTCAGAAGCGCCAGATTGTCATAGCAAAGTCAGAATGCCCTCCTCTCCTAGATTCACGAAACGGTCGTCCATAAAATGCATTGCTGTTCTGTTGTAAGTCATCTTAAAGATTCCTAAATGCATCTACTTCCGGAAGGCCAAATAAAGTGCTTTTGCTTTCTCCTAGAAACACACAGCGTCTCCCTGACATGCTGCTTCAACACTAACTGCGTTACTGAAACCACGCCGCCTTTCTTTGCGTGCACATTTGGGCGGCATTATGCAAATATTCCCACATAGTGAGGTAGATATGTGGGGCGTGTTAGAACGAGCCGTTTTAGGGGGGCGTGGCAGAGTCTTAACTTTCATAAAGAATATCTACTTGGTTTTGAGACTTTAGTCTTTGTAACTTCAGGGATCTTATCTATGCACAATCAGCTTGTAACACTCCAAAGAGAAAGGAAAACTTGAAATCGCATCATATGACCCCTTTAACATCTCAACTCTGAGTTTATAGAAAAATAAACTCAGCATTGTGCCAGATAAACTCAGAACTGCCAGAAAGAAGTCATTATTTATTGAACTTTTTAATTTTTTTAACCAAACAAGCTTTCATAAAAAAAAGACAATCATGTAAAGGTAACTTTGCTCGTACAGTTATGGGCATGATTAGTATTTTATGTAATTGCATCAGGAGAGCAGCTGTTGTGTTGGGGTCAGAATGACAATAGGACTCGGTCTGTAACAGCAGACGAGCTGATGTTTTATGAGGGTGTTAAACAGCACTATCACAGATCGCTCAGGGTCACAGGTGACGGTGGAAGTCATGGTGGCGTGACCTCACAGCTGCTGTAATGTGAGTGTTTTATTGTTCATTCATGTGGCATTACAGACATTAACACACACACAAATAATTACAACACTGATTTGCACGATTTGTCACGCAGCGCTACACAGACTGGCAGCATGAAGATCTCCATTCCATTTACAATGGAGGCGTTTCTCCAGTAAAGGTCACACACAGGTAACACAACTACCGTAATAAACAGCAGTTATGTAAGATGAGTTATAGATTGTGTATGTGAAATTTGCTAAATGTGAGTAATTTGAGCAAATCTGATTATATAATTAACGAGTTATACAATTTATTTGTAGATACTTTTGCCCCAGTCTTAATTCATTAATGCTTCTTTTTGTAATCTTACATCAAAACAAAATGAAATAACAAAATGATTACAGAGTAATTATATAGATATACTGTATTTGTGCATATTGTCTATATACAGTGTATATGATAGCAAAACCGCAATTGTACTAAATGGCAAGTAACACTTTCTAATCTTGATTAACAAAAACATTTATATAATCAGATTATAATTATGTAATCAGATTTGTGATCCCACTTATTTCAGTTGGTATGAAATTAAAATTCAACCTATTTTCTAAATGCATGTCATAGGATCTTATTGTCTTAATTTGGACAAATCATCCATGTATATACGTATATATATATATATGTTTTTTTTTATTATTCTTATTTTCCACACACACATATACAGTATATACTGTGTGTGTGTGTATATATATATATATATTAAAAAAAGTTTAGGATCATAATTTTTATTAAAAACATCTAGAATCATGACTTTATAACCCCCAGTCATACAGGCAGTTCTCAATCAATTCCTGATTAATAAAATCAACTGAATTACTAAAATAATGATTTCCAAACAGGTTTCCACACAGGTCCTCCAAATACCAAGTCCTAGCGTTTTTGCTTATTTTAATGGCCCAAAAAGCCCAAAACAGCACAAATAGCATGAAGTGAGTTGCAGGACTATCAGTTCTTTAACAATTGCTCATGGAAACTTGTTTGAACACAGTTATTTTTACAATTCTGCTTGCTATTGGCACAGAAATTACATGCTTTATCTTTAATGATTAATTTGAATCCACTTGCTTAGACTGTCATTGTATCCATGCACAATGAATGTTAAATAATGTTTTTTCAGTATGTTTTTAATTTGTATTTATTGATTTATTTATTTTTTTACAAATGGCACTGTGTTAGTTTATTTATACGCACTCAGACAGAGACGAGGCTGTTCCCGTGTTAATATATAAATATAATATAAAGCAGGCAGAACGGGGAAAGTGGGTCAGACTCAGGAGCGGAAAGAGGGATGCTGGGAGAAGAGTGAACGACTAAAAGAGAGGAGAGAGAAGAGAAATATCCGGAAGGCATCGGAGGGAGAGAGAGACGCACACAGTCTTCAACCTTCACTCCTGCTAACATGACCTGACTGTCTCTCTCTCTCTCTCTCTCTCTCTCTCTCTCTCTCTCTCTCGAGGACCTGCGCTCTCTCTTGCATTGTGGATGAACAGAGCACTGTCTGTGAAGGGTTTTAATTATCCAGGTCAATGTAGCATTCAAATACACATGCTTTTGAAATATTATTTAATATGTGGTGTTAAACATTATATTATTAAAATTAAAGAAATTTAGAGAAATGTAGCATTGCGTCACTTGCTCAGCAATGGATGCTCTGCAGTGAATGGGTGCCGTCAGAATGAGAGTCCAAACAGCTGATAAAAACATCACAATAATCCACAAGTAATCCACACCACTCCAGTCCAGCAGTTAACATCTTGTCAAGTGAAAAGCTGTGTGTTAAATCTCTTCCGGCTGATTTTTAAGTCCATAACGCTTCCTTCAGTGAAAAAGCCCATCTCCTATTGTCTCACATCAAAATCCACTCACATATTTGTTTCGAGCTGTTTTGGCTTGTAAACGGTGCTTGATCTGTGCAGATTTCTCTCCTGATTCACACCAGACCACTTTTTCACCAGAGGAAGTGTTATTATGGATTATGGACTCATATTTGGCCAAAAGTAGTGGTTTCAAGTTAAAACGGTCTTATTGATGGATTTATTTCTTACAAACACGCAGCTTTTGTCTTCTCAAGATGTTAACTGGTGGACTGGAGTGGTGTGGATTACTTGTGGGTTATTGTGATGTTTTTATCAGCTGTTTGGACTCTCATTCTGACGGCACCCATTCACTGCAGAGCATCCATTGCTGAGCATAGAATTTTAGTCTTTCTGCTGAAATTGAATCATAATTGAATAATCTCTTTAATTCTCATTCATGCCCTTGACAACAGCACATGTGAGTGCAAAAATGTAGGCCACGAGATTCCTAAGGTGCCTTTGTCCATCTACTTAATTGCTTTTTTCATCCCTTATCATTTAATTATTGTAAACAAAACATTTCTGCATCACTCCAAAACATGCTTCTTTAATTGGGCTTTTCACACCTGATTTCTAGATAACGGGATGTTAGAATAATTCTCAGTGCATGCCATTACAACATTGTCAGTGTAACCTAAAATCTCTAGAGTGATTACAGTGCCTATACTTGCAATGTTTAATACGGCCACTGTGATATAAAGTGTGAACAGCATTGCTTTGCATGCTCTCTCTCTCTCTCTCTCTCTCTCTCTCTCTCTCTCATTGGGGGGTGTAGATTAACTGATTGGCTGTTTCTTAGTTCTGTTACGGTGGAACGGTGGAATAGTCTATTTCTCGTCTTTACGCGCATCTGGACGCGACTCTCCCCGCGTCAAACCCGATCATGAGGTCTCCGGGGGTCTTCATCGGTCTACGGAGCTGCTGGGTCACGGACGGGATTCGGTAATACGAACACCCCGCTTCATCTCACCCCACACCCACGCGGACAGAATCTGGGTTTTGCGCACTTGGCGCTTCTCTCTCTCTCTCTCTCTCTCTCTCTCTCTCTCTCTCTCATTGGGGGGTGTAGATTAACTGATTGGCTGTTTCTTAGTTCTGTGCGCGCTGTACGGTGGAATAGTCTATTTCTCGTCTTTACGCGCATCTGGACGCGACTCTCCCCGCGTCAAACCCGATCATGAGGTCTCCGGGGGTCTTCATCGGTCTACGGAGCTGCTGGGTCACCGACGGGATCCGGTAATACGAACACCCCGCTCCATCCCACCCCACGCCCACGCGGACAGAATCTGGGTTTTGCGCACTTGGCGCTGCTGCTGCATTCACTCTGCCGCGCGCGTACCGGTTCCGCGATGGTTCTGTGTCGCCTGCGCGTCTGATGAGTCCGCCAGCACCGGCAGCAGCATGTCCTCGCGGAAGATCTCCTCCGAATCTTTCAGCTCCATGGGCTCGGACTACCTGGAGAGCCCCGGAGAGGACGCAGAGTGCCCGTTCTCGCGCGTCTTCTGGAACGGCAGGAGCCCCGTGGAGACGCTCTCGTGTCCGTTCGAGGACGCGGCCGTCAGCAGGAGGATCGCCCGGCGTAAACGCGTCAATCTGGACTCGCTCGGGGAGAGTTTGAGACGCCTCACCTCACCGACGGTACCGAGCCTTACCGTACAACCTTACATTCAATTCAACATATGTGTATGTGTGTGTGTGTGTGTTCATTTGCAAAAACACATAACTCGGTTTTTCATTGTGCGTTCCAATCTCAATCAAACTCCAGTTGGGTTATTTTGATTAAGTAAGTAAAAAAAAAAAAAAATTACAGCTAACTAACACAATAAATCACAATAAAAACATGATAACATAACAAAAAACATGATTTTGTAAGTATATATACAGACAGCACTTAGGGGCTTTTGCATCTGAACTCTTCATATATATATATATACACACACACACACACAGATGTGTTCTTAACTGTCTATCCACACACAAATACACATGTACGCAGATGTGCTCCTGCTGTTTTCTCTTCAGAAACTAAACCTATACATAGTAGCCAGAAAGAAATGCTAATTTTAAAGAAAAACGTCAGACGTACTTAGGGGCTTTTGCATCTGAACTCTTCATATATATATATATACACACACACACACACAGATGTGTTCTTAACTGTCTATCCACACACAAATACACATGTACGCAGATGTGCTCCTGCTGTTTTCTCTTCAGAAACTCAATGTATAATGTACATATTTATAGATATATATGCAAATATAAGTGGGTGTTACATAATGTATGTATTACTATAAATATATAATTGATGCACATCAATGAAGAGAAAACAGTGTGATAGAATCTAGTGTATGTGTATATATGTATATATTGTATACACATATTACAGTAAATACTATATGTAAATGATGCTAGAGAGAAAATGGTATGTGTGTGTGTGTGTGTGTAAATGTGTAACGGTATGTGAGAACTGGTGTCGGCTCTACCTGCAGATGGGTATATATATATATATATATATATATATATATATATATATATATATATATATATATATATATATATATATATATATTAAAATCAAAGATGATATATGTTTGTGTATAGATCGATGGATATATGGTGTTTAGGATATTTTAAGGCATAAAGCACATGTTTTCCTGTTAAAAAAATAAAAATCATACAATAGACACAGTATAGATGGATTGGTGCTATCTATCTATCTATCTATCTATCTAGGGTTGAGATAGATAGAGAAGGGTTGAGAATAAATATGAACTATCACCAGCGAAATACATCCACTCTCTCTAACCATTTACACCAGTATTACTAGTCTAGATGCAGTTAGAGTACTGATGATGATGATGGATTTGACTCGGTGCGTGAGAGCGGATTATACGGCTCGTAAATCTCCTCCGAACAGCAGAACTGGTGGCAGTGCTGATGTCTGAGAGCCTGATCCCTCACACCGTCTTACATTCATAGAGTGTGTGTTTGTGTGTGTGTGAATGGAGAGTCAATGTAGAGCATGCTGTGGTTGTTCAGGCCCTACTGTGTTGTGTGTGTGTGTGTGTCAGCATGTATGCATATTCATCATGTGTAGAGCAGAAGAGTGTGCGTGTAAAAGGGCAGGATAACCTCTCGGTACACTGGTCCCTGGTGCGTTTTGTCTCAAAAAGAAACACACACACTGTACCGCAGAGCTGCGATAGCACATGCATCTCTGCATCAGAATGTTCTTGTCCTGAGATTCACTCCAGTGGATTTACTGTGTGTGTGTGTGTGTGTGTGTGTTGTACTAGGCTCTTGACAATGTGGTTCATAGCAAACCAACTGCTCCAATGGCATAAATCCAGAATGTGTGTGTGTGTGTGTGTGTGTGTGTGTGTTTTAGCTGGATTATATGTAAAACACTCAGACCAGCTGTATACTGGCATAAATCCATGTTTTTTTTATGCACTGGTCAGTTTTGAGATTTTTGCGTATTTTGCTTCCTTAACAGTGGATTTACTGTGTGTGTGTGTGTGTGTGTGTGTTGTACTAGGCTCTTGACTATGTGGTTCATAGCAAACCAACTGCTCCAATGGCATAAATCCAGAATGTGTGTGTGTGTGTGTGTGTGTTTTAGTTGGATTATATGTAAAACACTCAGACCAGCTGTATACTGGCATAAATCCATGTTTTTTTTATGCACTGGTCAGTTTTGAGATTTTTGCGTATTTTGCTTCCTTAACATGTCTTCTTTCAGACTAGCGTAAAGAAAACATCCAAAACACACATTTAAGTGTTTATTTTATTACACTTTATCTGTTTGCATCTGTAGATTTCAATTACAATACACATCTTTACATGCATGTAAATTCTCTCTTAAAACTTTAATGTTGAATAAAAAAAGTTTACATTTTACAATAAGCTTTCACTTGTTAACATTAGTTAATTACATCAGTTAACATGAACTAAGAATTAAAAAAACTTCTAAAGCATGTAGTTAAAGTTAATTCCAACATTTACAAAAATATTAATAAAATCAAACGTTGGATTGGTTAATATTTAATGGACCTGAGCTGACATGAGCAAACACTATTGTTAACTAATGAAACCTTGCTGTAAAATATTACCATTTTTTGTCAACTACAGTGTTATACACTAAAAGAAATTTGGTGTAAAAACAACTTTCATTTCTCAAATTGCTAGTAAATTTCACAATTAATTACAAAGAAATGGCACGTAACATTTAATTATGCATGATATTTCGAAGGAGAATGACTGAAATTGTATTTTCATGAATCCAGTAAAAAAATTACTTAACTTCAATTTTTGTTTACCGTGTACACCAAAAAAAAAAAAATTCTCACTCAGAAATTACTAGTAAATTTTACATTTAATTACAAAGAAACAGTACAACACAATTAGCCTAAACAACATTTTGAAGTAGAAAGACTAAAATAGTATTCTTGTAAAACATACTCCAGTAATCTGTTTTATTTACAACTTTGAAAAATATGATTTATATGTATGTATTTATTTATTTACAGTGCAAGACAGGTTGTTTAACTATGACATCAGCATCGTCTGATCATCAGTATTTTCTGTGGTTTTCACTCACAGCAGCGGATTATGTTAATTTAACTGATTAACATGTCAGTTAAATTTGGGGATTAGACAAAACAAATGTTCACTGAACGCACACTAACACGCTCTTTAGAAGATAACATTGATCCTTTGTTGTGTGTGTGTGTGTGATAGAGAGATTTACACTGAGTTTATAGAGCTCTGCAAACAATAAAAAACTCTGTTGCAGAAGCTAGCCAACTGCCTACATAACATTTTAGGCAACATATACTCCTCCTGATGCAAAGACTGATCCCAAAGTGACTTAATGATGCTTTCTATAACTAGTTTAAGTCGAAATCTAAGATATTGTTGCATGAAGGCAAACCCAACATGCATTGCAGCAATGCTTTTGAAAGAGGTCTTATTTGATCAAACATACAGTAATATTGTGAAATATTATTACAATTTCAAATAACTGTTTTCTACTTGAATATATATTCAAATGTAATTTATTTCTGTGATCAAAGCTGAATTTTCAGCATCGTTACTCCAGTCTTCAGTGTCACATGATCTTCAGAAATCATTCTAATATGCTGATTTGCTGCTCAAGAAACATTTCTGATTATTATTCATGCAGTTTTGTCATTCAGTCATCTTTTGTGGAAACTGTGATGCATTTTATTTGGCAAGATTCGTTGATGAATAGAAGGTTCAAAACAACAGCATTTATTTGAAATAGAAATCTTTTGGAACATTATAAATGTCTTTATTGCTCATTTAATGCATCCTTGCTGAATAATATAAATAATTTCAGATGACTACACAAAGAATGAAGAAAATGAAGCCACTTTAAAGACCAGAAATATTTTTTTGCACTGTGGTATTATTTTTACAACAATCAAGGTAATTTGCCCTCACCTTCTCATTACCATAATGCATTTGATTATAATTCTTTTAGTATAAATCAGATTTAATTTCTCCAGAGAGAGAGAGACTGCTGTGAGATCACTAAAGCAGATTTGGCCAGGTAAAGCTGGATTTGAGCTATTAAGAGCTTTCCTGAAATGTGGAGGATTTTGATTGGAATATTGTTGCCGTGGTAGCGTGATAAAGGCAGTTGATTGGATAAGGCTTAAGGGTGTATTCTATTACAGGTAGATCAGCACTGTAAATCCCTTTAAAAAGCACCAAATCACACAAACACGGCACAAACAGACAAATCCAATAGAGACTATCGGGTTAACATCACCTTTTACTCCATTCACGAAATGGAGAACTTAGTTTAATTAGTTAGAATTTAAACTGTAGCTCTGTGCAACTTATTACTGAACAAAGTGGCGTAGAAACAATTTTCAGAATCAGAAATTGTTAGTAAATTACACAGTTACAAAGAAATTCTAAGTAACACATTGAAACAGTAAAGTAGTATGTTCTTGTTAAATATAGTACTCCAGTTATTTTTGTTTTACTTACAACTTCGAAAAAAGATGTTTTGCCCATTTTTAATAAGCTATGTGCAGCCAAAGAATCAGGCATCAATGAATTTCCATTGAGAAAATACTTGTTTTGTTTCTTTTAAGCAACTGCATGTATTTTTATTAAATTTTTTGTATTTTTGTGACTTTGGAGCCCCCTACAGTTAAGCGATTTGAATCAGCTGTCGTAAATATTGGCCTACCACTGTCGTAATTACAGTGGTTGTACCATAGACTGTATAAAAACATGGACGTAGTGTCCGTGACGTCACCCGTAGGTTTCTGAAGTGCGTTTATGAAGCTCAAAGTGGGCGGAGCCAGCCGTCGCCATCTTGGCAGCGTGTCACCGCGCGTCACTCCCGGATAATCAAAAATGGGCAAAGAGGCGGGAGCAGGTTGCTGAAGCCACGCCCACCTAGCTCAACGGTGGTGACAGCAGCGGCAATCCACCTGTCACTCAAGTGGCCACGCCCTTAATTATGAAGAACTTTAAGGCTTAATATAATTTAAACGGATGAGTTAAAATTAGCTATATAGATCAAAATAATTTTTTGAACCAGGCTGTAAACATGTTTTTTTCTGCTGTAAAGTTGGGCATTTTAACATGAGGAGTCTATGGGATTGACTCCCTTTTGCAGCCCGCCTCTAGCGGCCACTCGATGAATTACAGTTTAAGTCACTTCCGTGTTGGCTTCACGAGAGAGAGCGGGAGGTTGCCGCTTGGGTTGTACATGTGCATTTGTTATTTGTTGTTGCCATAAACCAATCCGTTCTTTTCGCGGAATTTCGTACCCGCTCGTCAAACTTACACACTCCCAGAAAAGATGTTTGGGGAAGAGTGTGAAAGTTTGGAAACTGAAATTTCAGTTAAAAAAAAAAATACTTACAGTTGCTTTAACTTTTGATTTTGTTGTGTCTGGTGTCTTTTGAATCCGTTTAAATTAGATCCCGCCAAAGGAGCTCTCCAAGCAGAGCAGTGTTTGGACAAGTGCGACGAGAATGCGGTTGTTTACCAGTTAAATCGTTTCTTACTCGTGAATCTGTGTCGAGCAACTTCTGACTGCATTGTTATTCTTCTTTTTAGACCCAGACAATTCAGCTGGCCCTGCAGAGAACAGTGGAGTTTTACAGACAGAGGGACATAAGGTACATCCATAATGTCTTAGAGAAATTAGACATTATTTATGTCTCAGTTGTTTCTCCTAGACAGTAGCCTATTGAGAAAATAGTTTCAGATCTCAACAACGTCTCAAATTATACCAACACTAAAGTCTGCAATCAAAAAGACAGAAGTCTAAATATGAACCACCTTATTTGTCCTGATTGTGCGGGACTTCCGGGTCTCATTCCATTCAGTTATTTGACCTGTAGAAAAACTGTTATGCTGCTTGATATTGCAAATTGGTATTTGTTATCATATAATTTTAATGTATTTTGTAGTGTAGTTTTACTCTTTATTGCACACGGTTATTCTAGTCATATCTGTAGCGAATGAATCGGAAGTGTCGCACATTCACAGGACATTGTTTACCTCTTCATTGCAAGATAAGGTGGATGCTCTTACAATGCTGTATTTTCACACCAAATTCACATTTAAAACAAATTTAATTTCCTGTGATGCAAAATAATAAAACAAAGTAACCAATTTTGAACACTAGGTCTAATTATATCGTTTCAACGTTTTAGGTTTTTGTCAAAAGTTGGTGTTTGTAAAATGTGTGCTGTTTTCTTTACAAGAAATGAGAATACCTTTTGAAATTTTGTACAAATGTGCTTACACGCATTATAAAGCAAATCTCACCTGACTTTAAAAAAAAAATATATTTTTTTTAGCTCAAATCGTATGTATTATTGCTGGACAGTTTTTCATTTAAAGTTGAATATAAAAGTATTTCTACATTTATCCTCATACAATACACTCATGTAAAATGATACGATATAGCAAATCTCAACTGCCTGATTTTTGTTGTCTCAAAATGTAACTCTACTATCATCTAGCTCTTTAAGTAAAGTTAGATGTATAAGCATGTCCAACTTAATCATTAGCTATATAGATCAAAATAATTTTTTGAACCAGGCTGTAAACATGTTTTTTTCTGCTGTAAAGTTGGGCATTTTAACATGAGGAGTCTATGGGATTGACTCCCTTTTGCAGCCCGCCTCTAGCGGCCACTCGATGAATTACAGTTTAAGTCACTTCCGTGTTGGCTTCACGAGAGAGAGCGGGAGGTTGCCGCTTGGGTTGTACATGTGCATTTGTTATTTGTTGTTGCCATAAACCAATCCGTTCTTTTCGCGGAATTTCGTACCCGCTCGTCAAACTTACACACTCCCAGAAAAGATGTTTGGGGAAGAGTGTGAAAGTTTGGAAACTGAAATTTCAGTTAAAAAAAAAAATACTTACAGTTGCTTTAACTTTTGATTTTGTTGTGTCTGGTGTCTTTTGAATCCGTTTAAATTAGATCCCGCCAAAGGAGCTCTCCAAGCAGAGCAGTGTTTGGACAAGTGCGACGAGAATGCGGTTGTTTACCAGTTAAATCGTTTCTTACTCGTGAATCTGTGTCGAGCAACTTCTGACTGCATTGTTATTCTTCTTTTTAGACCCAGACAATTCAGCTGGCCCTGCAGAGAACAGTGGAGTTTTACAGACAGAGGGACATAAGGTACATCCATAATGTCTTAGAGAAATTAGACATTATTTATGTCTCAGTTGTTTCTCCTAGACAGTAGCCTATTGAGAAAATAGTTTCAGATCTCAACAACGTCTCAAATTATACCAACACTAAAGTCTGCAATCAAAAAGACAGAAGTCTAAATATGAACCACCTTATTTGTCCTGATTGTGCGGGACTTCCGGGTCTCATTCCATTCAGTTATTTGACCTGTAGAAAAACTGTTATGCTGCTTGATATTGCAAATTGGTATTTGTTATCATATAATTTTAATGTATTTTGTAGTGTAGTTTTACTCTTTATTGCACACGGTTATTCTAGTCATATCTGTAGCGAATGAATCGGAAGTGTCGCACATTCACAGGACATTGTTTACCTCTTCATTGCAAGATAAGGTGGATGCTCTTACAATGCTGTATTTTCACACCAAATTCACATTTAAAACAAATTTAATTTCCTGTGATGCAAAATAATAAAACAAAGTAACCAATTTTGAACACTAGGTCTAATTATATCGTTTCAACGTTTTAGGTTTTTGTCAAAAGTTGGTGTTTGTAAAATGTGTGCTGTTTTCTTTACAAGAAATGAGAATACCTTTTGAAATTTTGTACAAATGTGCTTACACGCATTATAAAGCAAATCTCACCTGACTTTAAAAATTTTTTTTTAGCTCAAATCGTATGTATTATTGTTGGACAGTTTTTCATTTAAAGTTGAATATAAAAGTATTTCTACATTTATCCTCATACAATACACTCATGTAAAATGATACGATATAGCAAATCTCAACTGCCTGATTTTTGTTGTCTCAAAATGTAACTCTACTATCATCTAGCTCTTTAAGTAAAGTTAGATGTATAAGCATGTCCAACTTAATCTGCATGCATACAGTATATTTACGTACAGTGATATACTATATAGTCACTATATTATTATCACCCAGCTCCAATCTGCTAAATGTGACTAAAAGACTTTAAGATATGAATATGTTAAAAATGTTAACATCATGATTTTCTGTTTTGAAGCATTGTGTATTGTGAAAAATGCTATACAAATAAATTTGACTTGACTTGACATGCAAACATTTAGAAGTGAATCTTAAGAGTCCAAATACTTTTTTGGGTTTCATTTATTTCTGTTTTTATTCATCCATAGGAAGTTGAAATGCAAATTTAAATGGATGAAATTAAGACAGATATGAAGGAGGAACCTTTAAGCTATAATATTTTCTTTTGATATTTTGGTTACCCTTTTATCTACTCGCACCCTGGTAAATGTTAATCAAACTCTCTTTCTCTTGCAGTGGACAAGAGTTTGTAGGAAGCTTGTCAGACGAGCAGAAGTGTTTGTTTGAGAACTCTCGCTGTGACAGCCAGACTGACATCTCAGGAATACTGAAATACACAGCAACTATTTTAGGTAAGTACAAACTAGGGCTGCTCAATCAATCGAAGAAATCAAAATCACAATATGAGCGTGTGCAATTATTAAAACTTAAAATGCTGCAATTTAATTAAATAAATACAGTGTATGTCACGCATGCCTCAGAGTAATATTCTGTGTGTACTTTGCATACGCAAGCATGCATGGAACTTTTTATATTGTTTCAGTTTTTGAATTTAGATTTTTGTCTGCAAAGTGGTTCACTTTTAGCATGCAATGACAACATAAAGTGCATCATCATTTTGCATCATAAATGCAATATTTCTCATGATTTTTGACCAAATTGTGCAGCTGTAGTGCGCACACACACGAAACGGCAAAACTTTGACCTCAATACACACTCACTGACACTTTCCTAAAAACTCCCTCCATTGCTGCAGTCTCCATTCCCGAGCTGTTGCTAAGATACTAACTCTGCCATCCCTAACGAGAGCACATTTATAAATAAACCGCAATGAGCCATTTGAACTGAGCCCTGCCCAGCTAAACCTACTGCGCATCTCGCGTTTATGCAGCAGAGCTGGTAATCGATGGTTTTGCTGGGGGCCAGACCTTTAAACTTTCCATCTTTATGTAAAAGCATGTTTATAAACCAGATAGTTCTGCTAAATACAGATCGCATGAGTCTTGTTCATTGTAAATGTCAGTAATAATCTGTGACTGTATGTTACATGTTAAAACACAATGCTGCTACGTTTATTAAAGCAATAACGACATGCTATATTACCTCTCAAGTGCTGCATTGCTTTTACTCAAAGGTTATATAGGCTACACCACTGTTCAAATGTTTGGGGTTGGTACAATTTTTTCATGTTTTTAATAAGAAGTCCTCTTATGAAGTCTCTTAAGCTTGTTTCTACTATGGAAAAAACAATTTTTAAAGGTAATTGCGACTTTTTATCTCTCACTTCTGACACACTTTTTTTTATCTCACACTTCTGCAATTGTGAGTTTATGTCTCGCTTTTCAGAATTTTTTTCCTCTAAAGTTTCTATCTCGCAGTTCTGATTTTTTTTTATTCCACCACGGAAATGACAACTTTTTGTGTCACAATTCAGACTTTTTTCTCGCATTTGCAAGTTTGCATCTAACAGTTGAATTTCTATTTTAGAATTAGGAATTCAGAATTGCGAGAACAAAAGTCAGAATTGTTAGATAAAAAGTTGCAATTACATTTTTATGTTTTTTAAAATCTAATAATAGAAACAAGCTTCCATACTTCTGCTCAATAAGGATTCATTTATTTGATCAAAAATACAGTCAAAACAGTAAAGTTATGATATGATATTATTACACATGATATTAATATGCTGATTTGCTGCTGAAGAAACATTTCTGATTATTATCAGTGTTTTAAACGGTTGTGCTGCTCAGTATTTTTGTGGAAACTGATACATTTTATTTTTCAGGATTCTTTGATGAATAGAAAGTCCAAAAGAACTTTTGTATATTCATAAATGTCTTTACCGTCACTTTTGATAAATTTAATGCATCCTTGTTGAACAAAAGCAATAATAATTTAACAAATAATTAAATTATAATGTATTATTATTATTAGTGTTAATTATTTCTTTTTAAAAATCTATTTTGAATAGTAATGTATTTTTTTTTATTAAAAGATTATTAAGCAAATTGATAATTTTTTGCATTATTTTTCATAGGCGTGGACTTTTCCGACATCCGTGGCCGATTTGGGGAGGAATTCTTCGGTTTGTGTCTGGAGGAGAACGAGAGGGTTCTGCGAGCTCTCGGAGGAAACCTGCAGGACTTCTTCAACGGTTTCGACGCACTTCTAGAACACATCAGAACGTCCTGCGGCCGCCGCGCGTCGTCCGAGGCTCCTTCTTTCCTATGCAAAGACGCTCCTCAGGAGAGCGAAGAGACGAACGCGGAGAGCGACGTGGGACGGACTCTCCTCCTCCACTGCTTCAACCCTGATCCTACTGTGGGCGTGGCCATGCCGGGCTTAATCCGGGCCGCCGCCCGTCGCATCTACCAATCGGACGTTTCGGTGGAGGAAGCTCCTCCCACATGGCTGCACACGGCCAATGAGGACGGCGAACTCTCGACAGACTCCTCCCCCTCTTCATCCCCATCTCCGCCCTCGTCTTCATCTCCTGCCTGCTTGTCCTTCCTCATTCGAGAGGTTCGGACTCAACCCGCATCCTCGTCGTCGCACACCGCCGCCGCATCTCGCCAGCTGTCGCGCTCGCCGCTGGATTTGCGCATCGGTCTAAGCACGTTTTGCCGGGCCTTTCCCTTTCACCTGGTTCTGGGACCCAACATGGAGGTCCTGCAGGTCGGGGAGGGGCTTCGGAAACAGGCCAAGAGCGACCCACACCGGACACTCACCTTCAGCAACAGCTTTGAGCTGGTTTCTCCCAGAATCCCCTGCTCCTTCCAGAACATTCTGCTCCGGCTGTCCACGCCGTTCACCATTCGTACACGACCTGACGGGTCGGCACTCGACAGCAGAGAGAAGGTAAGAGAAGTAGTTTGGTAAATGATGTGAATTTGTGTTTGTTTAGGTGCGAAACATGCTCTTATTAAAGGGGTCATATGATGATGCTAAAAATAACATTGTTTTGTGTATTTGGTGTAATGCAATGTGTTTTTATTATTATTATATTCTAATTTGTTTGGCTTCCTAAAACACCAGTGTGAATGTAATTTAGATCGAGACAGTAGGGTTGAGTCCCCTTTAAAGACTTTTTTCTGACTTAAGTTTTCTTAGTTAAGAACATGGGCTGCAGCTCTTAATTTTGAACTCACAAACTCACAAAGTGCATTGGATAGAATTATGTAACTTTAAAATATACAAAATTTTAATTTGTACTTCATTTGTCTTTTTTTCTTTTTAAATATTGTAATAAATATCGTTTCGTGAGATTTTGATATCGTTACATCCCTAGTTTACGCGGTTTAAGGTTAAAAAAAAGTTCATTATTGTAGCTCCTCTCGCTTTCTGAAGCGCGTCGATTTTTACAAAGCTCATCATTCTGAAAAGATGATGTTTTATTTACTACAGTCAAAATAAAAGGTGTGCTCTGATTGGCCAGCTATCCAGTGCGTTGTGATTGGTCGAATACCTCAAGCGTGTGACAGATGACAAATGTTACACCCCTTACCATATATGGAAACACAGCGACTCCACGACATGGCGGCGACAACAAGTTCTTTCTTTGCGTAAACATTTGGGCGGCATTATGCAAATCTTCCCACATCGTGATGTAGACATGTGGGGGCGTGTTAGAACGAGGCGTTTTAGGTAGGCGTGGCTGACTCTTAACTTTCTTAACTAAAAAATTATTCATTCAGAATTTGTGGGAAAAAAAAAAATATTGAAATAAAGCTTAAAAATTTTTTTTAATGTTACCATGGCAATTAAAATAAGTTTTTTAAGTTTAAGTACTAAAATTACTTGAAATATTGAAATGCATTTTTGTTATGATTTGTAATGTTATGAAATAAAGTTAAAATGTCAATATTATAAAAACCTTAAACTAAAAGTAAATTTTCTGAAATGTAGCTATGGCAACTAACTGAATGAAGTTTAAAATGACTAAAATTGCTAACTTAAATATTTATGAAATTAAACTATTTAGAAATATTTGTGTTTCTCTAGGTCTGAAACACCCCTTTGTTCCTTATTTTTTGATTCCTTATTTTTTTATTTAAAGGCACATTTATCACAAGTCAGCTGTAATTTGAAAATATACATGATTTTACATGAATTCAGACTATTTTGCAATCTGTTTGAGTGATTCATTACATTGAACCGACTCCAAAAGGATTCACTCACAATTTGGGCCTCTTAAATAAATTAAATAAATTAGAAATAGCTTTATTAAATGGTAGAATTTTTTTTTTGTAAAATAGCTTTAATAGTTGTGTCTTATGCCACTTTCAAGTCCTTCTGGGAATTTCTTTTACTGTCCACTTTTATTGTTGATGAAAATATAAAATTTTAATATAAAATATAAATATTGAAAGCTGAAAAACTTAAATGTACATTTTGAAATGTTTCCTTGGCAGATAACTGAAAGAAGTTGAAGTACTAAAATTACAAACTGGGAAAAAAATGTAAACAAAAAAAAAAGACAAAAGCGCATAAAAATACCCCAAATTAAACTAAAATTAAAATGAAAATGTGAAGTTTTTTAGCACTGGTGCAACAAAATATATATCAAAGTCAACTCTCATGAAACAGTGAAAATGCATTAAAGCTAATTAACATTTACAGTGACCCATATGTAAATCAGCTTCCTTCATAATCCTTTAATTGGCTGGAAGAAAATCCCAGGTCTCCCACTAATAATTACAACACTGTGGTGGTGTTCGTGTCCGCTCGTCTCATAAATACAATCGTCCTGACATGACTTGAAGGCAGTGTTAAACAGTGGGAACGTGTCCTAATTACAGAGTTTGCCGTCACTGAAAGCTGTTGCCAAACCCGCAGGATTATTTCCTAAATCTGCGCAGATTATTATGAAATGATTTGGACAGAGATGCATCTTATGTTCTGATGTGGTTCACCCCGGAGAGAAGCTCTACCAAACACACACACAGGGTTTTACAGACACCACCTGCCCTAATGAAACGAGAAGATTTGGTTTGTGTGTTTAGGCTCAGCGCTGGCAACCGAAAGGTCACTGGTTCGAATCCCATGAGGAGGAGGAGTTTGTAAAGCTTTTAATATAGATGTACGTAATACATCTGCACTGCAAACGCAAATATTTAAACATGTAAAAAAATCGTGTTGATTTGTCAACCGTGAATCTTTATTGAAGAATTTCTTTGCAATCCCTATGGAGAAAATGAATGGGAACCCAGATTGGTTTTGCTTCAAAACCCAGATTTCAGTCTTATTGAATCAAAATAAATTCTAAATAAATAATATTCAATAATATACAAAGTTGACAACATTTTATTTTAGTATCCCTGAGATACTATTATAGTTTTTATTCATATTTTTTATTAGTTTTTATTTTTATATTTTCTGCTTTAATACCTTTTTTTGTTGTTTTAGTGATTTTGTTTTGTTTTAAAATATTTTTTTTAATGACTTATTATTTTTATTAATATTTTGGATTCATTTTTATTTTTTTATTTTCTGCTTTCTTTTTCATTTTAGGAATATTGAATTGAAGTCTTGGTAGTTTTGTTGTTTGGTTTTGTCTTTTTATTTCTCTATAGTTTTAATTATTATTATTATTTTTTGTGTGTGTGTGTGTCAAAGTTAAACTAAATAAAAAAAACCTTGGCAATTACGTGAAATTATAACCTTTATTTCTTTTTCTTTAATCAGAACCTGGGTTTCTGGATTTTTTAAAAATCCTTAAACATTATAAATATTTCCGTGAACTTAATAGAATATGCAATAATATACAAAATGTTTAACTTGACAGGCTGAACAGGGAAATTGACAATATTCATTAAATTTTTTCTATATAGGAGTCAAAAATACGATGCAAAATTATGAAAGTACTGGATACAGTCAATTCAGCAAAATTTTTCAACAAATCCTGTCTTTTTATTGTGCTATCCTAACTATGCATTGTCATAACTGGTTGCATTGTATTATTCGCATTTCGCATTTTCAGAGCTGAAACTCTTTGCTCAGTGATGAATTGGAGAGTTTGGTCTCGGTTCCACGTCATTTAGCAGCAGCTTGTATTTTTACCCAGAGTAAGTTGCAGGGTGCTGATGGCAGGAACAGGCCGTCCCGCCGGAGACATCAGTGCCTCGCTCTGGGGTACAGTGGTGATTGTGTTTGGAGAAACTTAGTAACAAAGCACTTTTCTTCAAGCTGTGTGTGTGTGTGTGTCCTGAAGCTGCTTACTGGACTGAGGATGATAAATGTGAACAAATATGAATAAACAGCATAACACCGTGTCAGCACTAAAAGAGCGTGATGCAGTGCGACAAAAATAGATTTTAATCAACGGTGTAGACCGCTGCATTCATTATCATGGGAGTGCTCACATCACATTGCATTTCTCAGTGTTAATGTAATAGTATTATTAATATTATTTTATGTTTTATATTTTTATTGTGCAATACTATTAATAAAAAAAATTATTAGTCTTTATTTTAATTTAAGTTTTAGTAGTTTTGTTGTGTGGTTATGTATTTTTTATTTCTCTATATTTGTATTCTTTTTTATTTATTTAATTATTTATTTATTGTTTCAGTACATCAAGGTAAACTAAATGAAAATGAGAAATGTTGCCTTGGCAATTACCTGAAATACAACAAGTGCTTTATTTATTTATTTATTTGTTTATAATTATTGAATTATTTCAATTATATTTTATTTCAGTTAATGTGATTTTATTTAAAATAAGAAACATTTTTATGGTCTTATATTTTGGCAAGTGTACGTATAATTACTCTGGTATGATGCAACAAAAACTAAATCTGTCTTAAATAATGTTTAAGAACAGAAATAATGCTAAGTCTTAATTCACTGTACGTAAAAATACTACATAAAAGGTGCCCATATTATTTCTGAATTGTGCATCTCTGCTTCCATTTTCAATTAATATCGACCGAGATTAATTCAGATCAGTGTTATTTTAGTATTATTTATATACTGTTATAGTTTCTTATTGATATTTTGCATTGTAATATTTTGCATTTCATTTAGTTAAATTTTTAGCAATTTTGTTTTGTGCTTATGTAATTACAATTTTTGTTATTTTTAAATATTACAATTTAGGTATAATTTATTAATGACTTCATTTAATATCCCTGTATCTGATTTTTATTTCAGTTTTAGTTTATTATTTTTTTCCAGTTTCTTTTTTTATTTGAGTGGTTCTACTTATCTACTAGCTTTCTTTTAATTAACAAAAATATTTAAAATTTAAATATTAAGTATTGATATAATTAAAATAGTCATTTATATGAAATATAAATTAAAATATTTGAAAAAATTTTTTTACGTTTTTTTTTTTAATGTTAAAAACTTTGTTTTGGTTTTAGTTAACTTAGTAACGCTGATGCAGACACAAACTGTACTGTAAGTGACCGTGAGGTCAAATGAAAAAAGTCTGTTATATTAAATATAAATTAAAATAAATATTTTTTTAATGTTTTTTTGTTACTATAGTAACATAATGCATTGCTTTCCACTTAACACGATTTTTATGGAGTAACGCAATATTGTAATGCATTACTTTTAAAAGTAACTTTCTCACACACTGGTGATAGAACTTGTGTTCAGTGTTTACTCAGTAGTATGAATTGTAACGCTCTCACTCTGATTAGCACCTCGTTGCGCTCTGGAGTGCAAATGTCTTTTTAAAGCTCTCCTCTTCAGCCCTCGTTCTCTTTAATCTGTTGTTCTTTGAAGGATGGTGTCGTCAGATCTGATGTGTGTAAACGTGTTTTAGTGTGTCACAGAAAGCCGTTTGTTGTCTTGTCATGTAAAACACCGCTACATTTGAAAGCTCCGAATCAAGGTGGCTTTGCTAACGG